TAGCTCCCTCTAGACTTTCCTGGAGGTCTTGGGCAGCCTGTGGCTTTTCTAATCATAAACCCAACTTAACATGCCCCCTTCTCTGACTTCTGATCTCTTTCCCATTTTTGTTTTGCTGTCTGGCATCTGTTTTGTTTGCTGTAGGCCATGGCTTTTTTCCAAGGGCCACCCTGGACTTACTAGAATGACCTCCTGGTGCTCCTACTATAGTCTCATGTGTCACAGGAGGACACCCCTATGTCGGCCAGCTCTCTTTATCCATCTCTGCAGCCCACTGTCTTGATCTGGTGCCCTCAGGACCCACCCACCAGGTGCCTTCTCCCGGCTCCTGCCCGCAGCACACAGCTGGCCCTGCAGTGTCCTGCATGACATCCCTGCCCTCCGGCAGGCCCAGCACTTTAGCTGGTCTAGGCTCAGACATGATCCTTGGCCGGCACGGGAGGCGGGTGCAGGCCCAGAGGCAAACACTGCCGAGGCGCCTGCCCCTTTGGGGGTCCTTGCAGAGTTCCTGTGGGAGGTAGGGCTGCCATTGTCCGCCACGGGGGGGAGTGGCCGCTTCTGCAGGCCCAGAGGATTCGGGGCAGTCTGGGGCTCAAAGTGCTCACGTGCCTCCACCCAGTCATCCCCTCCGCACGTGTCCGCATCCCATTCCTTCACCATCAGGGCCCTTGTTTTGACCCAGGAGGCTCATCTAGGTTGAGATCCAATCTTTTGGGGCTTCATCTTCATTTCTGTCTGCCCTCCTGCTTCAGGGTGTCTTGACATGTGCCAGGTGGCCTCTGACACACTTTGCTTTCTACTTTTAGCCTGTCATGTTCTCTCCTCAAGGAATCAATGATGTTTTGCAAAAGCCTAATAGTTACTGTCTCCTCCTAACCTCTCAGGTGCCTGAGACATTGTACCAGCTACCGCCTCCCCTTCCACCTCTCAGCCCAGAGCGCCCAGGGGATGGTTGTCACTGTCACACTGCAACCCCTGCCAGGGGCCATCAATTCTCCATAGGCCGCTAGCGACGGTCCCTCACGGCCATCCATGCTGGCTGGTGATCATCTCAGAGTGCCTTCCTTAGGGTCAGTTCCCTGACCCACCCACTCCCGGTACCAGCTTTCAGGTTGAATTCCCGAAGAAGCAAAGCCTGATGTGGAGATCTGAGCCGGGCCCTGCCGGCCTCCACAAGGCCCCTCGCCTGCTCACACTCACCCACTTGTCCCCCTTAGTAAACAGCCCATTGTCCCACTTAGCTGCCTGGATAAACGTGCACCCAGACTCCTGCTCACACTGTCCGTCTAAGTAAACGGCCCGCCCACCTGTGCACCATGGTCCCGGCTCACCCGCCCCCAGAGCTGCCCAAGCCACAGACTGGGGGTGTGCTTGACACTCCCCTTGCCTTCACCCCCACGTCCCACCGGTTCTACCACCCACAGCTGGGGCTCTGCATCGGCCTCCTCTCGGTGCCGGCAGCAGGTGCCTGCCGCCTGGGCACCCCCAGCGGCCTCTGGATCCACTCCTGGCCGCGTTCCTTGCCTGGCAGCCTCACCGGGTGAGCCTGCCCGCAGAGGCCACAGAGATCTCTGCGAACACAAATTCCATCACGGTGCACCCTAGCCTCAACCCCTCAGGGTAAGAGGGTCCTGAGGATGAGGCGCGTCACCTCTGTGGTCCTGCCCCTGGACTCTGGCACCTCTGCCCGTCGGCCCCACACCTCCTGAGCTGCCAGGCCCCGGGTGGGCTCCTCCAGCGCACCCAGCTCCCAGCACGCCTGCCCTGCTCAGCCCCACTCTGGGCTTCCGTGAGGGGCCCCCCTGCTCTCCACCACCGGGGGCTCAGGCCCCCCTGCACATGCTTGATGGACAATTCCAGCCGCCCCTGGCTGCCCCCGCTTCTGCCTCCCGGACTGAGGAGGAGACCAGGCCGCTTTCAGGACCAGTCAGAGCCGGTCGCTGACATGAGCGAGGGGCAGGTGGGGGTGCTGGGGGCCCCCGGGAGAAGGCACAGGCCTGAGGCCCGAGAGACCACGGGCTCTGGACAGAGGCTGCAGCCCAAGGCAGGCCCAGCAGGGCCCGGGGAGGGGTTGGGGTTTAGTCCCCGCAAGCGCGGGGGAGGCTGACGGCGAAGGTCGCGCAGTCCTTCGGCGGAGATGGCAGCGGGGTGGCGGCGGGCACTCCTCGGGGCCGGGCCCGCGGCCGCCCGCACCCCTCCCGCCGCCCCCACAGGGCCCTCCCCCGCCGCGAAGCCAGCGGGACTCCGCCGGTTGCTTTCTTTCCCTGCGGCGCCTTTCTTTGCCACACACGCCCGCTAATGCCGCCTTTATCACGGAATTAGGGGCTTTGGGGCCGGTCGCACAAAGAGGCCTCGACAACGGCCGTAATCGAACGCCAATCGGCCGATCTCGGGCGCACGGGGGGGAGCGCGAGCCGGGGATTAGCGCGGGGCCGGCGGCCGGCCGGCGAGATAGCATCGGCGCGGCCCCGCCGGGAAGGGCCCGGCCCAGGCGCGGAGAAAGGCCGGCTTAGCCGCTCGGCGCTGCGGTTCTGGAGCCGTCAGGGGGATTAGCGCCCGGGTTAATCTGCTTTGGCTGCTCGACCGAGCGGAGCGCGCGTGGGCGGAGGGGCCCTCCGCAGAGGGACCGCAGGCGCTGGCTGGCCTCAGTTTCCCCGGCTGTCACTGGGCCAGGTTGGTCCTGAGGACCAGAGGGAGGGGTGTACACCTCGGCTGGTCAGGCCAACGGCCCGACGTGCGCACCTGGCTCACCAGGTGTGAGCGGAGCCGGGCCCTTGGCCCCGGCCTCTGTCCCCGCCAGCCTTCCAGGGAGATCAAGGAACTCAGCCCCTGTCCATTCTCAGAAACGCGCTTCCTCTCCCCCTCCCCAGCCTGCCCTGCCCACTGCATCTGACCTTGACCACCCCTTGTGGCGCTGTCAGCCTCCCCAGTGAGCTTGGGCTTCTCAGAGCAGCACAGCCCCCTCCCCATCCTGGATGGCGGGGAAGCAGGTTGCAGATTGGGAGGATCTTATGGAGCCCAGCAAGGAGTCACTGTCTGCAGACCCTCCATCTTTCCCTTGGGGTCCCTTCCACGGTATGTACCCCTGAGGGGCATGTTTGTTGATTGACTCACTGACAGGGCAGTGACGCCACCTGCTGCCCCCTCAGCGCTACCTCAAGCCCCTCTCACTAGGTGAGGGAGGGTGGGTGTGCAGGCTTGGGCCTCCATAGTTCCCGGTTAGGTCCTTTGTCTCCGCGTGCGTTTTCCCAGCTAAGAAATAGGGCTCCTGGTAAGAGGAAAGACCCTGCCAGGGGGCCCACTGTCCAGCTGTGCAGCCTGTGCCCGCTGCTGCCTTCTGTAGGCACTCCCAGTCCCCACTCCTCCTCCTGTCGTTGCTGATGACAGGCCTCCAGAGCGGGAGGCGCAGAGGGGTGTCCTCGCACTGTAGGGGTTCTCCTGTCTCCTCCATGGGGCCTCACAGGAGCGCACGGGTGGCAACAGGTGACCGGCCTGGAGCTAGCCAGGCGGGCAGGGCCAGCAAGGGACGCAGCAGTGGAGCGGCTGGAGGAGGCCTCTCGGCCCCTCGCCCTGGCCCCATCTCCTTTCCCGTGGCCGAGACACTGCAGCAAAGGGACGCAGGGGGAGGAAAAGAGTCTCGGTCCTTCCTCTCCTCATTCGGCAGCGACGTTTCCGCAGCCCAGTCACGCTCTCTGGGAGCTTGGGTCTGAGGGCGCAGGAAGGTATCCGGATCAGAGGCTGTGCTGGGAAAGGGGGACGGGTCCCCGACCCGCTACGGGTGCAGACAGTGTGAGATTCGGGATGAAGGCCGAGCGCGCGGCGGCGCTGCGGGAACAGGTGCGCGGCGGCCCGGGCCGGGGCAGAGCGCCGGCTGCGCGGGAGAAGCCCAGCCCGAGGACACAGGCACCGCCGGGAGGGCCTCGGGGAGGGGTGGCGGTGGCGGCGGGCCGCGGGCGGGCTCGAGGCATCAGCGCTGAAGCCCGAGGGCCGGGAGTGCTGGCAGGGGCTGCCACAAGGCTGCCAGCAGGCCGCGGACCGAGGCCGCGAGGAGCCGCACGGCCCCGCGCGGGGAGGCGGCGCGCGCCCATGACGCCACCAGCGCGCGCCCCGACTTCCGGCGCGAGCGTTCCCGCCGCAGGCGGCCCGGGCTCCTCCCTTGGCGCCCAGTTCCCGTCCCCGAGGCCGGGAAGGCCCCTGCGCCCACAGGACCCGTCTCCGGACCTCCAAGGGCGGGTGCAGAGAGGCCCTTGAGCAGCCGGCCGAGGGCCGCCCTCCCCTCGGCCCTAGCGGGCACAGCCGCCCTCGCGACCTGGGCCGGCCGGCCCGAGGAGCCCCCGGGTCACGACCGCGGGCGGGTCACCTTCTCCCCTCACGGCCCTGGGAGAGGGGCCACTCCAGGAGCGAGGCGTGCCTCGCCAGGTCTCCGCAGCGGGGCTGGAGGAGGGGGTCTGCCGGTGCGGTCAGGCTCTAGGGCCGCGGGGGGCGGACCAGCTGGCTGGACAGAGCGCTTCGGCGGCCCCAACCCGCCCGGCGCCCGCATGCAAGGTCCCAGGAGCCGCACGAAGCAGTGCTTTTCGGCCAGCGTTGGGCTGCAGGTCACTGAAGGCATGTGAGCAGCGCTTAGGAGCAGAGGAGGTGGGGTGGGTTATCCCCGAGGTCACTTCAGGAGACGACACCCCTGTGGTCAAGTGGGGCCTCCCGGGCCAGTCCAGGCCGGTGCGTGTGGCCGGCCAGGCAGAGGGCAAGCTGCCCTGGGACATTTGCCAGGTGGGGCCTAGGAAGAGGGGCGCTACAGGGCCACGTTCCCTCTGTGGGTCACCCATATTGTTGGCCTCAGCCATGTGTAACAGCCTGAGTGTTCCGTGGTCCTCCCATCATGCTTTTAGGCCAGTTCTCCACTGTGCTTGCATCTCTGTCCCTGTCCCTGATGCGCCCCATCCCTGTTCCCACATCATGAGGACGCAGAAACATCTCACACCCTGTGATGCTGTGCTCCTTACCAAAGACCACCGTCAGGGATCCGAGAACATGTAGGAAGTAGCAAGTCAGCGAGGAGACCCTCGGCATTCCCAGCTGGGGCTGCTGTGAAGGCTGGGTGCACGGCCGCCCGTTGGCTGGAAGCAGACCGACCCATTTGTCAGGAGTGACTGGCTGTTTCGTGTGCTCTGATCTCCACTCACCACCTACACAAGGACATGGCAACACCCAGGGGACGCTGGTGCTACTGGCTGAGGGGAGGCTCCAAGAGGTGTGGCAAGGGCTGGAGGTTAGCCAAGCGCAGCCCCGGGAGCAGCCACCACGTCACTCTCAGCTCCCTTGCCTGTGTCTGAGGCCACTCTTCCTCCTGGGCACATGACACAATAATCCCAGGCTCAAGGTTGAGCCAGATGGTGAAGGTTGGCTGTGGCTTTACAAACAGGTGCAGAGGCTCCAGCCATGGCCGAATCTGGTGACTCGGAGTGCCACATTCCTCATTTCACATCTCATCTCTGATATGTGCACCCAGCCACCTCCTGGGTTTCTCCCTGGCCTTGTGTCCAGGTTGGTGGGGTGTGGGGGGTGGCAAGTCTGGAAGTTGAGTCTGTTTTGCTACCCGATTACTTAGAAGATCTGCACACATCTCTGGAAGGGCAAGGGTCTCCTGCCATCAGCCTCCTCTCTAGCCTCTGGGGTCTTACATGTAGCTGGTCTCCTTCCAGGCTCTCTGCCTGTTCACTTTGCTCGTCTTGCTGGCTTTCCCTCAGCCCAGACACTGCAGCTCTTTCCTGCACAGAGGACACCCCTCCCCTTCCTTCAGGTCTCAGCTCCAAGTACTGAGTGTGCCTGCTTCTTCAGGTTAAGTGTGACAGGTGGGGGAAGGATTCTACCAGGATGGGTGGCTACTCCTGGCCCCAGGGGATTCAGACGCAGCTTAATCAAATCTCCTGGCTGGGCAACCTGCTGTCCAAGTTACACTGTGCAGCACAGGGACAGGGACTCTGGAGCCACAGCAGGATCCCTGCTGCTCCTGCGGAGAGGGGTTAGATTACCTCTGGGCACAGGTCCCCATGCCCTGCTCTCAGCCCAGTGCAACCTTGGCCTCTTCCTCCCTGTGAAGGGGGCCGGCAGCAGGGTTCTGGGGTGCTGATGTGTGGCGAGTGGGTGCCATTCCTGGAGGTTGGTATTTGGGGACATTGAGGCCCCACAGGGCTCAGCAGCTGGGCTTTGCCTATTCTTAAGATCTATGTGGAACTCAGGAGTCTGCAAACCTCCTGCAACCCTAAGAAAACAGCTACACATGTGCAGGCTTGTCCTATCACTGTTCTGAGCACTTTCTAGGGATCACATTTCATCCTCACAACCCACTCCCTGTTGCAGATTAGGAAACGGATAGGTGACTTGTTCACTTTGGGAATTAGGGTTCTGACCCATCTACAAATGGTGCAGCGGGAGGGCAGGCCCCAGGGGAGCGGTGTGCCCTTTGAGTCTCCCTGTCCTGTGCTGTAAGCCAAGCCAGTGGCTTAGGGTGGGGCCTCCAGCCCTGTTGCCTTCCCAGAGCTCCCACATGCCCTGCTGTGGGTGTGGGAGGCTAGCCCTTGGCCCCTGTGGGCTTGTGAGCTTTGCTGCTGGCAAAGGTCCTGTTGTGGCAAAGATGGGTAGGTGTCCTGTGAGATCAAGAGCACCCAGCTCAGTTCCTCAAAACCCCGTGTTCCCCTTGCATCCCCAAGCCCCTGCCTGGCCCGCAGATCTACCCCGGTCCAGACTCCAGGGACTCTGGTGCTGACCGAGGCTGGAGTGGGGCACCCTCCCCCAGAGGAGCAGCTCCAGGGACATGACCTGCCTACTGGGGGGCTTCTGCTAGGGTGTTTGCCCCACTTGGACAGGAGGGTGCCTTCTGCCCCTCCACAGCCAGAGGTACCAGTTCATCCCACCCTGCTCTTGGGCCTCCTCCACTCGGCTCAGGGTTGTGGTGCCCAGCTCCTGACATGGGGTGAGGAGGGGCACCCAGGGACACTCCAGTTCAGGGCTGTGAGGTGAGGAGCCCCTAGCCCTGGTCAGGCAGGTTCACCCCCTCCTGCCCCAGGGCAGCTGCCTCCCAGCCTATGTGAAGGGGTAAGAAAAAGGCCCCCTGCTTAGAAGCTCAGGGAGCCAGAAATTAGATGCCCCAAAGCACTTCCCCGTATGCATGCCATCCCAGAGAAACCACAAGTGGGCCTTAACGTGCAGGCTGAGGGGCAGACAACCGGGGGGCAGCTTCCCAGGCCCAGCCACCAGCGCGGCGCAGCTCCACTCTGGCCACTCGGGGCTGCCTGTCAGGTGACCCTGAGGACGTGTGCTCCAGCAGACCCTGGAGGATCCTGCCCACAGGCCACGTGCAAATCCTGGACAGAGCCCGATTCCTCGGCCTCGCCTGGCCAGGCCTCCTGCAGGGCTCGCCCACCGGCCTGCCTGCTGCCTGCTCTCCCTGCCCCTGCTGGTGCCTCTGCTGAGGGCCTGCCTTCTGCAGTGGCAAGTCCACCACTGTCCACCCACAGATGGGCCCACTCAGGGACAGGAGGCTGAGACAGGATCCGGTTTATTCTGCCTTGGGAGGGTGGTCCTGAGAGTGACGGGGGCCACCCTGTCCCGGGCGGAGGGAGGGCCCAAGAGCCAGTTAAGGCCAGTGGCAGGAGAAGCGAGGGGCACACAGCCCCTGGAATGCGGTGAGGCCAGGCTGAGACCCGGAGGCAGCTGTGGTAGGCTGGGGCAGGTGCCCCTGCTGCCCAGCGTGGAAGGCACCGGGCTGGGACCGGGCCATGGCTACAGGGCCGTGGACCCAAGCCACATGGGCACCCCGGAAGTGGGGTACCGGGTCACATGACACAAAACATGAAACACAGGCACATGGCTCATGAGTAAGCACATGGACAAGTGGGCACAGATTCACAGGCCAGAGGGACACCCAGCCTCTGCCTGACACACTGACACAATGGTAGTTGACCACAGGGGACACATGGTACTACAGGACATGTGGACTCGAAGGCCACAGGAGAGACCCAGGCCACGGAGTTCAAGGAATGGGGGTGGGGCCTTTTGGCACAACCGCACTGGAATTGTAAGGAGAGGGTGGTGTGGGCTGGTCTGCAGGCACCTGGGGGCGGCTCCCACACTGATCCCCAGGGGCTTAATCCGTCTTCCACACCTTGTTGAGAAGCTTCACTACCTCATCATAGATGATGAACACGATGGCCACGTCCAGGCAGACCCGGCCCAGGCGGGGGACAGTGCCCTTGTAGAATCTGGGGGGGGCCGGGGCAAGGCACGCAGTGAGGAGGTGAGGAGGGGACAGCAGGGCTGGATACAGATGCTGGAGTGGGAGACCGGGACCCTAGAAGTAAGGACTCCTGGGCTGGCAGGGGGTCTGGGGTGAGACCCAGGTAGAGGACAATGCCCTTCCCCTCCCCCACTCACGCCTTGAGCCCCTCGTTCCTCAGGATCTGCAAGCCACAGTCCCACGTGTTCCGGTACTTGTGCGCCTCCAGGCCCTGCAGGACACCAGCCACAGGGCTCAACAGCCAGTCCCTGTCCCAAGACCCCTTCCCCGTCCCCTTCCCGGTCCTGCCGCCACCTGCATCCGGGTCTTGATCACATCCAGAGGAGTGTTCCCAAAGACGCTGGCGGCGCCGGCGACAGCTCCGAACACCCCGGTGATCAGCGGGTTCATGGGCTTGTTGGGGTTGTCCCCTGGACGCGGGTGGGGGTTGTGGTCAGAAGGTGATGGAGGGCAAAGCAGAGGGCTCTGAGGGCTGGGGAGGAGCACGAACCAGCCCCCACGGGGCCCAGGAGCTGGGGCCCTGGCCTGGAGGCCTGATGGGGAGCAGAGCTTATCCCGAAGTGTTTGGAGGTGGGATCCTGGGCCACCAACATACCTCGGTACCAGTTGCGCAGGGAGGTCATGACGAAGAAGCGGATAGCCTGGTTGGACCCCTGCTTCAGCACTGTGGCTGTGAGGCCCTGGTACGTCCCCTTCAGCCCTGGGGGCAGGCAGGCATGGAGGTCACACTCGGGGAGCAGCACGCAGGAGCGCTGGGGCGGGGGGCAGGCAGCGCGGACCGCTTCTGGCCTGGCCGAGCCGTCCCTGACTCTACTTGAGGAGGACGGCTGAGTGGCTCACCTTGTTCCCGAATAATCTCCCTGACCCCGTGGAAGAACCCTCTGTATCTGGGGCTGGCAGAGGTCTGGTCATGGATGAACTTCACCTGAGAGAGAGGGATGCAAAGGCACTGGCTCCCATGGTGCCTCCTGGAGAGCCCACCTGGCCTCTTGGCTCTGTAGGCCAGGGCTGGGGGTACACCTCCTCACCTGGAGACAGGGCCCCAGGGCCGTGGTGGGCACGAAGTCCCAGAAGACAACAGGGCTACTGTACTAAAGGGTCTTCCCTGTTTGCTGGTATCTCCTTCCATAGCTTAGCCAACAATCACTTTTTTTTTTACGTCGTTTGTTTATAATTGTTTCTTAAAAAACTTAACTGGAGGGGCAAGAAAAGGAACCTAGAAGTAAGGACTCCTGGGATGGCAGGGGGTTTGGGGTGAGGCCCAGGTAGGAATAAATGGCCCACCCCTCTCCCACTCAGGCCTCGAGCCCCCCATTCCTCAGGATCTGCAAACCACAGTCCCCCGTGTTCTGGCACTTCTGCGGGAGAAGGCACAGACTTCCCTGCGAGAGCGAAGGGATGGGCGCCGTGGCTTTCAGACGCCAAAATCAGAAAAGGGGATGCCCTCTCCCCTGGGGACCCGCTGTCCTCAGGACAGAGTCCAGCCTGCACAGGAGGCCCCTCCGGCGGTCCCCCTGCTGCCCGGGCAGTTCCCCCTGCATGTTGCTCTGCGGCTCTTCTGTGCCCCCGCCCCGCCTCAGCTCCGAGGTCTCCTTGGCGCACGGGACCGTCACCGCCCGGCCACCCCAGCACCCCTCCGCAAGCCCTGCCCCCTGCCTGGACCTTCCCTACCTTGATGGTCTCCATGGGGCACACGACCACCACCGCTTCGGCCACGCCAGCGCCCAAGCCGCAGAGCAGACCGCGCGTGCTGTCCAGCCGTCCCTGGGCGTCCCGCATGTGGTTGCTGAGGAACTCGAACATCCCGAACCTGCGGGCGGAAGGCGGGGGGGTGGAGGCGGGCAGCCCCTGGGGGCCCCCTCCCGCGGCCGCCCCAGTCCTCCTCACCTGACGGCCGCCTTGGGGATGGAACCGTAGAGCAGAGAGCTGAGGCCTCGGTACAGGCCCAGAACGCCATGGCTGCGGACCGTCTGCCGCACGCAGTCCCCTGCGGGAGGGGGCGGTCAGCGACCCCCGCCGCCCTCAGTCCCGGCCCCGCTGCGCCCTCCGGCTGCCGGCTCTCCCGGGGCGCACCGCCCCTTACTCACCGATGCCTCGGTACCGCGGCGGGTGCGAGCGCTCGTCCAGCTGCAGCTGCGTCTTCACGTACTCGGTGGGGAAGGTGATGCAAATCTCTATGCCGCCCGCCAGGCCGCCTGCGGGGGGACCCGGGCGCTGAGACCCCCGCCCGGCCGCCCGGCCTCCCGCTTGCGGCTGCCGCCCGGGCCCCTCCCCCGCCCCGGACTTTGCCCGGCGCCGGCGCCGCCGGAGGCGGGGAGGGTCCCCACGCCCCACCCTCGCCCCGCAAGGTGTGGGGGCGACCCGCAGTGCGAGCCCCCGCGCGCCGGCTGGGGAGCGGGGCCGCGCCCCCCGCCCGACCCGGAAGTGGGGCGGGGCCTCGGCGTCCCCTGCCCAGTCTGAAACCGCAGGGCCGGCGGGTGGGCGCCGCGGGGTCCGCGTCCGGGGGGCCCACCTGCCAGGATCGCCTTCCCCGGGTGCGTCAGCTTGGCCTTCCCAGGCGCGGGCGCAGCGGCCGCCAGAGCGCGAGGCGCGGCCATGGCGGGCGGGAAGGCGGGGCGTCGGGGCGCCCGGCGTCGGCCGCGGGTCCGAGCCTCCTGCTCTCGGGAATCGGTTCGTGGAGGCAGCCGGTTAGGGTCCGGGGGGCGGGGCGGTCGCGTCGGCTACCGGGCTCCGCCCCGCGTGGTCCGAGCCGGGCCCCGCCCCCGCCCCGCCCCTCGCCGGCCGGGAAACTGAGGCCGGGCGGAGCGTCCGGAGGCAGGCGCAGGGGTGGGACGACAGCCCAGCCAATGGCCGGGCCCGGGCCCTCGGGAGGCGGCGCTGCGCCCGGGCCTAGAGAGGTGGGTCAAGGTGCGGTTTCTGTAACTTGCCTCGGTATGTGGCGGGCTGGGTGCGGGAAGGGGCGGGTTTCACGGTCTGTGTGCCAGTCAGGAGCGACAGGACCCTTGGCAATCACGGGTGGAGAGAGGACCCTTCCCCGAAACACGTGGGGCTAGCTACCTCCCCGAAGTTTGAGGGTTCGGCCTTTCAACACGCGAATGGCCACGTGGCTACCACAGCTGCCACGGGATTTAAAGCTCCACGTAGGGCGCATCGTCGGGGAAGAACCCGAAGGCAGCCGCAGGTTCCCCGCCCCGCAAGAGGTCCTGGAAAATCCTACGTCCCCTCCTTCGCACACCAGCACCAAGCAGGGAAACTTTGCCTTGATCAACCACCTTTAATATTCATGATCGGCGGGAGGCTCTGAGCCAGGTTATAAGGTCTGTTCAGCTGTGTCTGCAAGTAGCCTGGAGGGGGCGGCTCCACCGGTGCAGAATGTGGAGAGGGTGCCCTTCCCCCACAGGACCAGGGAATGTTGCAGACAAGAACTCCCCAGGAATGTCTGGCTCCGAGTCAACTTCCCTGCGTGAGGGCTGGAGCCAGTCTTCTCCCAGTCAGTGGCTACCCTGGCCTCAGGCTCAGGGCTGGCTCAGAGGCTGCCATCACTGGGCCTCGGCAAAAATAATGTGCAGGTGTCCCTGCCTGCCATCAGGGTCCTCTGTGCTTCTGGGCTGACACGCCCCCTGAGGAGGGTAATAACCCAGTAGAGGGGGTGTTGCCACTGAGCACCCACTACACGCTGAAGCCGGACACAGGAGGCTGGGTGAAGGCAGGAGCAGCTTCATATCCATAGGGGAAGCCAGTAGGGGCAGGGGCTAGGCCTGGGCCTGCTGTCAGCATCAGCTGCTGACCTGCACAGGGAGACGCCAAGGGTGAGCAGAACTCACTGCTCCCAAGTCACCAGGGCCCAAGGAGCAGGTTGCACACCAGCCCTGACCACCCAGTGGCTGAGGCACCACAGAGCAGGTGCCTAGCGGCAAGGTCTGTGGGAGCTGCTGTTGGGCTGGCCAGGCAAGAGGGTAAGCTAGTCCCAAATGGGACACTTACTTATTAGCTCAACTGGCTGGGTCTCACTCATGCCCATCAAAATCTAAAAAACCAGATTGACATTAATGGTGGGTGGGCACAATGACCCCAAGCACAGCTGGTGGGAGAGTTGAGACCAGGCTCGTTTGCTGCATGTCACACCATGCCCTCAACCTGTGTTAGTCGCAGATACCAGGACTCAACAGCCTGTCTGTGCAGTGCACACACGAACCAATTTATCTGCTCAACAGCCAGGCCATCCAGGCAGGCTCCTAAGGGCAAAGTCAGCAAGAGGCTTACTGCCTGGTGGGGGGCCAGGCAGGGTGGCACACAGAAGCAGCTTGTCGTCAGCTGGCTGCCAGGCACAAGGAGAGGCAAGGCAACCCCACCAGGAAGCAGGCACCAGAAATGGGGGGGGGGGCAGGGGCTGTGCCCCTATGAACACTACTGAATACACGAATCTCCTCCACACCTGGCGGCCATGGAGGTCTTCCTGTCCCCCCCACCCTGTCCATTCCTGCCTGGACCTGAAGCCCAGTCAGGGGAAGGTGGTACGAACTGCCTCCCGTTTTCTCCCCTCCCTAAGGGGCAGGGGACTAGGGACTACAGGTGCCACGTACCAAACAGGAGAGGGGCGGCTTCCACCACATGCTCCTCCTGTTTGCGCAGACTCTCTGAGGCATCCAGTCTGTCCACCTGCAGAGGCGAGAGCACAGGAGCGCCTGTCTGAGAGCCTCAAGCAGTCAGGGCCTGGAGGCGAACGTGGGGCTGGACGGCCAGTACGCAGCCTCCAGGAGAGAGCGAGCTAAGGAGGCTCCCGGGCCAATGCTGTGCGTGCAGGGCCCTCTGCCCTGCTCTACAAGATGAATCCTCTGTAACTGGGCAGAGACGGAGTGCCCCGTTGAACCCCAGCCACTGTTCCAACCTAGTACTTTCCAAGCGGGCACTTGGCTGCCAGGTGCACCAGAGCAATCGTGGGTGACTGCAGGCTGTGTGTGGCACGGCTGATGGGGCCAAGTGCTCCCCTGGACACAGGACCACCACCAAGATAATGCAGTGCTCCCTGCTTCCAGCCAGTCCTGGCCACCTACTCCTTCCTAGGAGATCAGTCACTCACAAGTGTGACATCTGGGACATCCTCCCTGCAGGGAAGATGCGCCCCGAGAGGTGGGCGCTGTATCAGCCATCTGAGGACAGCTCCCCCTCACTCTTCAGTGCTGCCCAAATGAGGCAAGAGCCGAGACTGAGGTCTCCAGCCGGAACGGGTCTGTGGCCTTGTCTGGGCCCCTCCACCTCACAGCACCCAGCACTGGGTCCAGTCAGCTGGGCCCCAGCCTCAGCTGAGAACCAGCCCACATCCCATCAGTGCCTGAGAAGCCCCTCTCAAGCCCCCTCCTCTCTCCACCGTGACAGGCACCTGGTCTGGTGCTGGCGGAGGCACGTGGGACGGCAGGCAACAAGGCCAGGAGCTGTGGCAGCTGCTGACTGCTAGGACTAGAGGAGCGTGGGGACCCTGGGCCAGGAAGCAGGGTCTTTCCAGCAGGAAGGCATCAGCTACCCAAGCACACAGTCCCAACTTGGGTTAGCTGCGTGGCCACAGTGCTGACCGAGGGGACACGGCTCCCAGGATGCCCTCTATCACCCACCAGAAAGGGAGTGTGCTTCCCCAAGTCCTGGGAGGCCCTTTGGAGGCCCAATCCCTGCAGCACGGAGTTTCTGCTGGGCCCAAGTTCCCCAACTTCAGCAAGAGGGTCCGGCCATATTCACCCTCTATGCAGGGCTTGGAACAGACTGACTGCTTCCAGGTTATGGCAACTTAGGCAGGGGGAGAGCTGTCCATCATGGGTAAAGTGGCTGTTGAGGACAAGCTCCACACAGCAGATACCTCATGTAGGGAGCTGCCTTCCACTGTGTTGAGGAACCAGGGACCCTTGTGAAGTCAGCCAGTCTGTGTCCTCTGGCAGCCCGCATTCAGGCTGAATGGCCAAGGTGCCCTTCTCCCACCCCCTGCAGAGTCTCAGGAGGCCTCCCGCTCAGATGTGCTATGTGGATGGGACTGCAGCAGGGGGATGGCCTTGAATGGCCCCTGGGATGGCTCCTGCAGGGGCTGGGCAGTTCCTAGGAGGCTCTGTAGGCAGCAAGCAGAGAAAGCCCTTGCGGGCCAAAGCTGACAGCACCCGAATGCACCCCCCAAAGCTTCCCATTTCTTCCCTAGAACCACTGAAAGAAGCCACAGCCTAGTGGCTTCTGGCATTGTGGGGCCTCCACCTGGCTGGAAGAAGGGTAGGTGTATGGCTGGAAGGGCAGGTACGTGCTGCTGAGTGGTGGCTTTTCTGATGCCTTAGAAACAAACTGGGCCAGATAAGTGGGTCTCTGGACTGGGTCCAGCTTCTAGACAGGGACTTCTACGGCTTCAACACACAGGGAGAGCTAAAACCACACACTGCCATCTCATTAAACAGCTCAACAGTCTGCAAAGAAAGCTAGAGTGGGACACAGGGGTGCCAAGTGACATCTGGAGTGGCAGAAGTGACATGCTCAGACATGATTATGGCCCCTGGGCAGGGGAGACATGGGTCTGAGCCCATGTTTTCCTCTGTCAGCTCTGGACTGGGACTCCAGTGTCGCAGGCTATGGAGGGATGACCACCTTCCTGACAATATATTAAAGGGTTAAATACGTGTTAAGGTTCCTACTAAATGCTTGGCAAAAGAGGGTCACCACGACAGGTCTTCCAACAGCTGCACCCTGGACTCGACGAAGGGGCACCGAGAGGTGGGTGGCCCCTCGAGCCCACAGCTGTGTGCTGGAGGCTGCCAGCCGGCACCTCACTGCTCTCTCCTCATGAAGCCCTGGGCAGCGGGTGAGCACACCTGTGCCTCTGGCCCTGGGTGGGTGGCTCTCTAAGGGGAGGTGCTCAGTTCTATCCAGCGACCCCACAGTGATGTTCTAGGAGAGGTCAAAGTCACTCAGGTGTGAAGGACGAGGCCTCTCCTGAAGGCAGGCGGGGCTGATTGGGCAATCAGGACTGGCAATGCCACGTGGCAGCAGGGGCAGTACTCACCTTGCTCAGGTCCTCCTTCATCACCTGGATGAAGTAGGGCATGGCCAGGCCCACAAGGCCGTGTCTCCAGGCCAGCTCAAGCACCAGCTCCGGGGAAAGCAGGTCGTAGCAGGCGAGGAGAGAGGCTGCGAAGCACTCCTGCTTGCCCTCCTCCAGGAACCACCGCAGCAGCCTCTCAGCCAGCGCAGCGTCCCGGGACGCCGCAGCAAGCCGCATGGCATCCTGCAACCAGGGCAGACACACAGCTCAAGCCCACCCTGCCTCATGCCCCCCGAGGCACTTCCTGAGCTGCAGGGCACTGGACAGTACCAGGATCCATGAAGGCCCTCACCTCACCTGGGGTGGGGTGGAGGTGTCCCTGCGCCTCGGCTGCCCTCTGGCAGGACTGAGTACCACCTCTGGGAGAGGGGGGACTCTGAGTGTGGCCCTAGTAGCAGGTCTTTGCAGACCTGCAGACCTGCCAAGGAGGTAGCACACGTGGTTGCTGGTGCCCTGGGAGAGGGGTCTCAGAGCCCGACTGGCATGCAGAAGGGGTACAAGGGGCTGCCCCGGGGGAGGATTTTGAAAGGGGTAGGGACAGTGCCAGCAGGGCCTCCTGTAAGGGCCAGAGTCACTTGCTGTGCTCAGGCCAACAGCCCGCACTACCCTGGACTCAACACAGAGCAGCTATGTGGACATGGGTAGTGCCCAACAAGATGATTTGCCCTTTCTTCCTGACATGAAGTTGTCCCTAAAAAATCCCCAATCACTACTTTCACACTTGCAAATGTGTCTAAAGCATAATTAAAAAAAATCACACCCACCCAATGAGGAGCCCAGAGGCCAGCATGTGGGTCAGCCCCGAGTAGGCACGGCCACGGTACCCTTCAGAGGTGAGGAACCTGAGGCCCACAGGTGGGTCACTCCGACGATGAGGCACAGGTGGTCTCAGATGCCATCTGACTGCCTACCGAGCACGGCTGCTGCTACCTGGAGGCACACACTGGTGCCTCTGTGCTCACGGGGCCTCACACCCACTCAGTCACCTGACATGAGCCTTCGAGGTCCAAACTGGAGACTCCAGCACCCTGTAAGGCAGCTTCTGCAGTGCCCAGTGGTCCTCCTCCCAGAAGGACCCTTGCTGCTCTGAGAGACCTGCCTCATCTCCATGCTGTTCCTACAAAGGCACCAAAGTCACGCGAAAGCTCAGGACACCCCAGGCCTCCCAGGCCTGCTGCCAGGGACGCCAGCTCCTCTCTCCCCCATGGTGTCCACCAGTCCAGCTGGGCCCACCCTTGGCCAGCCTGTCTGTAACTTGTGCCTAAAAGTAGGCACTTCTCTCCCTCCATGGCCTTGGGGACTGCCCATAAACTCTCACAGCCTCAGTCGCCACCAGCAGAACGTGGCCGTCTCTAGTTCCCTTCTGCCCTGTAACTGCCTGCTGGCAGCTTCTAGAGGACCCAGGTGAATGAGCCCCAGGTGACTCAGAACGAAGCTCAGGCCTGAGATTTTCCCACACCTTTCCACTTCTCACCACCGCACTGGCTGGTGTCACTATCAAGGCATCTCTCTCCCTCATCCCCATCCCTCCCTCCCTCCCAAGCCACTGCTGGCCTCCTCCAGGGCCTGGCTCCAGCCCTCCCCTGCTCTCTGCTTGCCATCCCCTGGCCCATGACTACCGTCACAGGCTCCTGTTCTTCACCCGTGGGCAGAAGGGGCCTGTGCACACACCTAGGTGGGCCCAGGAGGCACCTGCCTACATCCGGCACCTTCCTCATGTCCTGCCTGCCCTGCCAATCCTCAACTGTCCTAGCTTCCCACGTGCAGTTACTGCCCCCTCCACTCACACTGGCCTCCAGGCAGCGTGCACATGCCCCGAGGTGGTCACCCTAGCCAGGTGACCGTCCACTGTGCCTTTACACCCAACGTCTGCAATCTGCAAAACATGCTTCTTGTTCTGTAACTGTCCCAGGAACCAGCGGTGGCCACTCAATGTGCAGTGGCCCACTGTGACCACCCAGTCTTCCAGGCCCCCCTCCCGGGGCGGGTTACCTGCCAAGGCACTGCTGACACGTGTGTGTGTATGTGGTGGGGTGGGCATCACGGACCCTTCAGCACCACTCTGTGCTCCACCTACTACACGTAGCACCAAAGCCACAGGCTGACGTCCAGAAGCACCCTGGGAGTCAGTCAGTCCAGTTGAGAACCAGCACTGGGACATAGCCAACTGCCTCCCGCCTTTGCTTTGTCTTAGATCCTCTTCCTAGTGCACTTTGCTGAGTGGGACTGTTGGCTGGAGGAAGGTGGACACCAGAGAGGTGAGGAGCCTGTGCATTCAAGACCATGGCACATGCCACTGGCAGGACACGGCAGCTGTGACCCCTTGCCAGACGGAGCCCTGCTGACGCCTCCCAGGGCAGAGCCTAGCCCCCAGTGCGCAGCTAGACCCCTCTGCAGGCCCTGTCAGCACCCAAGGATCACCAGCACTGTCACAAAGAGTGAGGAGATGACGGCAGGTAACAGGTCCAAGCTGGAGGTGACGACTTGGGGTGACCCTGGTATGCCCTTGATGTCAAGGGTCTCTGGCCTCAGCCCAAGTGCTGTGAGAGGGACGCACCTGCGTGGGGTGGAGGGAGGCAGCTGTTGTGTCCTGGGAAGGTCTCAGGAACACAAAGGACAGCTCAGAATAGCATCCTCAGGCCAAGCTCATGGCCTGTGGAGGGCCTCCTGGGGGCTCTGGGCACACAGAACACTTGGAAGTCGGCTTAGGCATGCAGAACAGCACAAGGGCCCCCTTGGGCAGCGGCTCTTGCCCCCACTGGGGAGATGCCGAGGACAGGCGGAGAGGCGGCAGTGCCTCTAGGTTCTGCGATCTCTTCAGGCAGCTCACCCTGGCCAGCAGACGCCCAGGCCTGGATCTGCGCCCGAGGATGGTGCAGAGCCACTGCTCAGTGGCAGAAACAAGTACTCTGAATGTGATTTTACCTTAATCTCTGAATGTGATTTTAACGTAATGTTTCTATTCCCCAAATCTTTGCCAGCTCAAGCACCAGCTCCGGGGAAAGCAGGTCGTAGCAGGCGAGGAGAGAGGCTGCGAAGCACTCCTGCTTGCCCTCCTCCAGGAACCACCGCAGCAGCCTCTCAGCCAGCGCAGCGTCCCGGGACGCCGCAGCAAGCCGCATGGCATCCTGCAACCAGGGCAGACACACAGCTCAAGCCCACCCTGCCTCATGCCCCCCGAGGCACTTCCTGAGCTGCAGGGCACTGGACAGTACCAGGTTCCATGAAGGCCCTCACCTCACCTGGGGTGGGGTGGAGGTGTCCCTGCGCCTCGGCTGCCCTCTGGCAGGACTGAGTACCACCTCTGGGAGAGGGGGGACTCTGAGTGTGGCCCTAGTAGCAGGTCTTTGCAGACCTGCAGACCTGCCAAGGAGGTAGCACACGTGGTTGCTGGTGCCCTGGGAGAGGGGTCTCAGAGCCCGACTGGCATGCAGAAGGGGTACAAGGGGCTGCCCCGGGGGAGGATTTTGAAAGGGGTAGGGACAGTGCCAGCAGGGCCTCCTGTAAGGGCCAGAGTCACTTGCTGTGCTCAGGCCAACAGCCCGCACTACCCTGGACTCAACACAGAGCAGCTATGTGGACATGGGTAGTGCCCAACAAGATGATTTGCCCTTTCTTCCTGACATGAAGTTGTCCCTAAAAAATCCCCAATCACTACTTTCACACTTGCAAATGTGTCTAAAGCATAATTAAAAAAAATCACACCCACCCAATGAGGAGCCCAGAGGCTAGCATGTGGGTCAGCCCCGAGTAGGCACGGCCACGGTACCCTTCAGAGGTGAGGAACCTGAGGCCCACAGGTGGGTCACTCCGACGATGAGGCACAGGTGGTCTCAGATGCCATCTGACTGCCTACCGAGCACGGCTGCTGCTACCTGGAGGCACACACTGGTGCCTCTGTGCTCACGGGGCCTCACACCCACTCAGTCACCTGACATGAGCCTTCGAGGTCCAAACTGGAGACTCCAGCACCCTGTAAGGCAGCTTCTGCAGTGCCCAGTGGTCCTCCTCCCAGAAGGACCCTTGCTGCTCTGAGAGACCTGCCTCATCTCCATGCTGTTCCTACAAAGGCACCAAAGTCACGCGAAAGCTCAGGACACCCCAGGCCTCCCAGGCCTGCTGCCAGGGACGCCAGCTCCTCTCTCCCCCATGGTGTCCACCAGTCCAGCTGGGCCCACCCTTGGCCAGCCTGTCTGTAACTTGTGCCTAAAAGTAGGCACTTCTCTCCCTCCATGGCCTTGGGGACTGCCCATAAACTCTCACAGCCTCAGTCGCCACCAGCAGAACGTGGCCGTCTCTAGTTCCCTTCTGCCCTGTAACTGCCTGCTGGCAGCTTCTAGAGGACCCAGGTGAATGAGCCCCAGGTGACTCAGAACGAAGCTCAGGCCTGAGATTTTCCCACACCTTTCCACTTCTCACCACCGCACTGGCTGGTGTCACTATCAAGGCATCTCTCTCCCTCATCCCCATCCCTCCCTCCCTCCCAAGCCACTGCTGGCCTCCTCCAGGGCCTGGCTCCAGCCCTCCCCTGCTCTCTGCTTGCCATCCCCTGGCCCATGACTACCGTCACAGGCTCCTGTTCTTCACCCGTGGGCAGAAGGGGCCTGTGCACACACCTAGGTGGGCCCAGGAGGCACCTGCCTACATCCGGCACCTTCCTCATGTCCTGCCTGCCCTGCCAATCCTCAACTGTCCTAGCTTCCCACGTGCAGTTACTGCCCCCTCCACTCACACTGGCCTCCAGGCAGCGTGCACATGCCCCGAGGTGGTCACCCTAGCCAGGTGACCGTCCACTGTGCCTTTACACCCAACGTCTGCAATCTGCAAAACATGCTTCTTGTTCTGTAACTGTCCCAGGAACCAGCGGTGGCCACTCAATGTGCAGTGGCCCACTGTGACCACCCAGTCTTCCAGGCCCCCCTCCCGGGGCGGGTTACCTGCCAAGGCACTGCTGACACGTGTGTGTGTATGTGGTGGGGTGGGCATCACGGACCCTTCAGCACCACTCTGTGCTCCACCTACTACACGTAGCACCAAAGCCACAGGCTGACGTCCAGAAGCACCCTGGGAGTCAGTCAGTCCAGTTGAGAACCAGCACTGGGACATAGCCAACTGCCTCCCGCCTTTGCTTTGTCTTAGATCCTCTTCCTAGTGCACTTTGCTGAGTGGGACTGTTGGCTGGAGGAAGGTGGACACCAGAGAGGTGAGGAGCCTGTGCATTCAAGACCATGGCACATGCCACTGGCAGGACACGGCAGCTGTGACCCCTTGCCAGACGGAGCCCTGCTGACGCCTCCCAGGGCAGAGCCTAGCCCCCAGTGCGCAGCTAGACCCCTCTGCAGGCCCTGTCAGCACCCAAGGATCACCAGCACTGTCACAAAGAGTGAGGAGATGACGGCAGGTAACAGGTCCAAGCTGGAGGTGACGACTTGGGGTGACCCTGGTATGCCCTTGATGTCAAGGGTCTCTGGCCTCAGCCCAAGTGCTGTGAGAGGGACGCACCTGCGTGGGGTGGAGGGAGGCAGCTGTTGTGTCCTGGGAAGGTCTCAGGAACACAAAGGACAGCTCAGAATAGCATCCTCAGGCCAAGCTCATGGCCTGTGGAGGGCCTCCTGGGGGCTCTGGGCACACAGAACACTTGGAAGTCGGCTTAGGCATGCAGAACAGCACAAGGGCCCCCTTGGGCAGCGGCTCTTGCCCCCACTGGGGAGATGCCGAGGACAGGCGGAGAGGCGGCAGTGCCTCTAGGTTCTGCGATCTCTTCAGGCAGCTCACCCTGGCCAGCAGACGCCCAGGCCTGGATCTGCGCCCGAGGATGGTGCAGAGCCACTGCTCAGTGGCAGAAACAAGTACTCTGAATGTGATTTTACCTTAATCTCTGAATGTGATTTTAACGTAATGTTTCTATTCCCCAAATCTTGATAATAAGCAAAGCAGGTGCCAAGTGAACATGACCACATTGCTTAGGGAGAGTGAGATTTGCGCGTAACTGCCGGAAAAGAATCAACTTCGTGAGAGCCAGTCTTTCACCTCGAGTAACTTCTAAGGGGCTCTATGTCAATGGCAGATGATGACCATCACTCTGCTCTAAAGATACGGACGCTCCCCACTTAGCTTCCTCTCGGTTCCCTCCACAAAGGTCTCCCGCTGGGGGCTGTGGCCACTCCCCACGCACTCAGAGTGCCAGGAAGCCCGGGGGAGGTGGGCACTGAGACACTGACCCTGTGGAGCCGGTCCTTCTTGCACAGCTCCACGCTCTGGGCCCACCGGCCACTGCCCTCGTAGAGGTAAGCGGCAATGCGCCGGAACTCGATCAGTTGGTGCTTCTCCAACCTCTGCGCCAGGGCGATGTTGTCAAAGTTGTTGTAGGCATCGACAGATGCTCTCAAACCCTAGGAGGACACAGCCTTCTGTGGGTGAGGGACTGGGTGGAGCTGCCACCCAGGAATCAGTAGCAGTTGCTGCCACCATGGCCTTGGTGGTGGCATAAAGTCCTGCCCATCTGCTCACAGTGCCCTGTGGGGGCCACACCTACTTCTGCTCCAGGGCGGCCCACTGAGAGCACCCCAGCCAGCGTGGAGGGGGCCTCTCATGCCCAAAGCAGCTGCACGGTCCCTGGGGCTCGGGGGCAGCTGCCATCGCCCTCTGACAGGGCTCAGTCCCCACACCCACCTGGTAGCCTTCCTCTTCTGTCAGCAGGTGGTTGAGAGCCTCGTTCACACTCTTGTTGTTGTGGCTCTGGACTGACCGCAGATAAGGCTTCACTAGGGGCAACTGACCTGCCTGATGAGTTGGGAGAATGGTCAGGGCATGCAGAAAGTCACCAGGCGTCCACTGTGACATGCTGATGGGCTGGTGTGTACAGCCAAGGTCCAGGTCTCCTCCCAGAACCCTGGAACTGACAGGCCCTACCCACACACTCACACAAAGGGCTGCCTGTGTCACTCGGCAGGTGCCAGGTTTAGCTGTGGACGTCTGCCTGAAATACAGACTCGAATGTGGAACCTAAAGCAGCACGCCACACTTCACCTTTAAATTGGCTGAGGCTCCTCTCAGAGATGGCTATTAAGGTAATACCATGAAGCTGGCCTTGGCCCGGGGCACTGGCTGGCTCACCCCTGAGAAGAAGCTGATGGTCCGGCTGTGGTCCAGCCGGGGTGCCAGCACGAGCAGCAGGTCACTGATGAGCAGCGGTTTGTAATCCAAATAGAACTGCAGGGCTTTGCAGTAGAGCTCCACATTGGCGACCTGCGGGCAGGGCTGAAGGTGAGGACCGGCCCACCTGCTGGCCGCAGATGCTGTCCACTGACCGTACCGCCTTCCGCTTCGTGCCCTAAGGCACTTCATTATCGAAGCCTGTCATGACCATCCCTTTTAAGACTGAATACCCCTTTCCGACACGTACCCATATCTCTGGCATTTTTCTCCTCAGCACTTGCCACCTGCCAGGCTAAGAGGCAAGCGGCCTCTGTCCCCTGCCTCACCCCAGCACCCACCGCGGGACCTGAAGCAGGGCCAGTGCTCAGCCAGTTATCTGCTGAGTAGTGAATGAGGGTAACAAGTCAGAATAACTCGAACTCCAAAACAAGGTTTTATCCAAGCAAGCTTTCCCCAGCCCTCCTTGGAAAGCTCAGCTTGCTCTCGTGTCCCCAGTGTTCTCTGGCAAGGCGCTGTGGTGTTCAGACTGGGCACCAGCCAGCAGAGGAGCTGGATGGCTCCGGACCGGTCCTGTGCCCCCTGGAAAGGGAGTCCTCCTGGCTTGCGGATGGCAGGGCCTGTGTTCAGAGGAGGGCATGGCGGTCCCTGCCCTTCAGAAAGTGTGACAGGTGAGGGGCAATGAGCATGTCCTTGGGAGTGTGCGGAGGTTCAGGGGTGCACACGGGGCACGGTGACACTAGAGCCGTGTGGGTGGAGAGGGTGGGTTCAGGTGAGTGGAAGAGCCCCATCTGCAGCCCTGCTGCTACTGGCACCCTTGCTGATGACGGACAGCTGGACGTTCCTCTCTACTCCAATTAGGACGTGACGTACCCTTCCCAGACCAGGGCACTCGCTGTGGTCAGAGTCTGACCCACATGGGCCTCAGGGTCCGAGTGCTGCCTCTGTGGATGCAGAGGACCGTGGTGACCCTTCTCCCAGGCACGCTTGCACAGAGCTCCGGAACCTGTTCCTCCTCCAGCCTGGCCCTTTTTCTCAGTGATATCCGGGCCTGGATCAGGGGTCTCTAGCCTGACTAGATGTCTAACAAGCAGAAAGAGCTGTTGGGACATAAGGCTGGGTCAAGGGCCACAGGCACTGGGGCTCCAGTTCGCCTACGGTGGTGAGTTTCCTCTTCTGAGGTGCTGGCTCCCTAGAAGCCCCTGCCAGCACTTGCAGGATGACTGAGGGATGAGGGAGGACTGAAAGGATGGGCCTGGGCCGAGGTGCTTCCCCTGGAAAGGCCCCTGCTTGCACAGCTGGCAGAGGTGGTGGGGAAGAGCTGGCTCCCCACTCCGGGCACACAGGAGACCTGCTTCCCTGCTTTTTGAACAAATCTGTGTGGCCTTCACTAAAGCATGGCCGGTGTGCCCTGTCCCTCTGGTGGACAGTTTGAGGCATAACACAACTGACCACACTGCTTCCCCGACTGTGGAGACCTGAGGCTGGACAAGAGCTGGCCAACCACCTGGCTTGGCGGGTCCATGGACACTGTCATGTTGGGCTGAGCTGCTGATCCGGAAGCACCTGGTGCCCTCTGGAACGTGTGGGGCTCCCACCAGGGACACTGGCATCCACCCACACTCCTCCGGGGCGATGCACCAGGAAGGGCGCGCCAGCAGGGCCAAGCCCGCCCGTGCAGCGGGCAGATGGCCGCCATCCTGCTCAGGCACACACGTGCATGCTGGCTCCATGAGCCTAGGCCCGGGGGTAAGGCATGGACCTTATTTTGCAGAAAAGAAAACTGAGACTCAGAGATTGTGTCACAAGCTCACGGGAGACCAGCCAAGTGCACTCTGGCTCCTGACACATATCACACCCTCTGTGGGAGGCATGGGAGGCAACTGCTGTATGCCAGGCACTGCCATAGACCACGTGGCAGGCAGGAGGCACTACATCTGTTATGGATGGGGTCGCTGAGGGTCACGGCAATGACACCAGCCCAGAGGGACAGAGACCGCGAATGGCTGAGTGGGGACGCAAGTCTGGTCTGTGTCAGCAAGGCCCATGCTCAGCCCTCCACTGCCCAGCCCTGCGCCCAGGAGATTCCAAAGCCTTCCTCTCATGTGCCCAGAGCCCCAGCAACGTCCCCTCTGCTGTGCCACCACGGCAGCCAGTGTCCTCTACCCCTCTCTCTTCCATACATGAGCTGATGGCCGGCCTCCCATGTGGCAGACAGAGGCATCAGCGTGCACACCAAGGACAGAACACGGCCGTCAGTGCATGAGCACGGCTCCCACGTGAGCCCATGGGGTCTGTCAGCACGTGTCATGTGACTCAGGATGCCAGGCTGAGCTCCACCCCTCCTCAGGCATCTGCGGTCACAGTGGCCCACACGAGGGTCACGTGACAGGGAGGCACCCGGGCGAGTACACCAGATACTGCTAAGAAACAAAAAGCACTGCTACGCCTACCACGGCATGCCATCCACTTCAAAAGGTGCCCTCTCATCGGAGGAGCTGAATGTGAAAAAAGCACGCTTAGATCTGTTCTGGTGGGTCTGCAGCATGTTTCTGTGCCTGGGGCACGGGAGCTTGTGACCTGCCTGCCCTTCCCCTTGCAACCCGCAGATCCCACTCAGGGCAGGACCTCCGGCAGGCCGCTGCTGACTTCACACCCACCACACCAACTGGTGAGCGGAGCATGTGCAGGACCTCAGGGCGACCCATCCTCCTGACAGCTGCCCCTGAGGGCGGATGCTGGCACCACCCCCGCCCCCAGCAGCCAGACGGGACAGAAGGCGTTGCCCTGGCCAGTGGGGTGGGGGGAAGGGGCCTACACCTGCACCCGGGAGTAGCAGTCAGGATGTTGTCTATCACTGCAAACAGCAAATGGGAGAGAAGTGTGGTCACATTACTCACTCAAGGCCACCAGGACTGAACAAGAGCGTACAAAGCCGAAGGCCTGGGGACTGATGACAGAGCTTCCCCCCTTACCTCCTAACACGTGTGCAGAGCCCAGAGCGGTCTGGAGGCTGGGCCCACTCAAAGGCCAGAAACAGAATAGCGGAGGCCCACTTGGTGCTTACGCCCAGACCTGACGCCTTCCGGTGTTTTTGGCAGCTGGTGGAGCAGCCCAGGTTCCTGGATTGGCCTAAATGGACTACAGGGGGGTGTCTGCTCCTGGGCACAGTGGGCACCCCAAGGCCAGCAGACCTGGGCCCGTGCCTTCACCATCTGTGCTCCTCTGGGGGTCAGTTTTGGAGAGACATGGAGAAAAAAATATGCTAGATGGTGAAAAATATGAAAAAAATGTAACAGGAAATGGTGATAAGACAGGGGTGGGAGCCCCTAGTGACAGGGCAGGAGGAACAGTGAACGTCAAGTTCTGGCTGTAAAGGGCCCCGTGTGGGAGCGAGGTGGGCCGACGCGGTGCTGGGAGGCTGGGGCGGGGGGCGGCGGCTGGACCGCAGCAGCATGCTGCCCTTGCCCTGCCCTCATGCCCTGGGGCACACACCCTGGCCCTCGTCCCACCCACCCTGGGACAGGCCTGGCAGTGGCAGGCAGGAGCTGGCGCTCAGGGGTCCTCCTACCTCGGCAACGACGTCCTTGAACTGCCCTTCCCTCCAGGCATCAGTGGGGTGACTGATCACGGTAAGGAGGGCACTGTCGTACTCCTCGTACTTGTCCTGGAGGAACACCAGCTCCGCCCACAGGTGCGCCTGCTCTGCGGCTCTCAGCACCTGCGGGGACAGCCACGGGCGAGGGCCCGGCTCGAGCCATGAGTGTACCTGCCAGCCGGAACCCCGAGGAGGGCCAGGTTACCTTTGGGATGTTGAGACGAGACCAGAAGAGCTCCAGGTGCTCGGACATCTTCTGAGGCTTGAATCTGGAGGAGAGGACAGCCAGCTCCGTGAACATGCCCACGTGGGCTCCAGGCCCAGGGCTGCTTCCAGCAGGGAGATCAGCTCCTCAAAGTAGCCTCGATCCTGAGAGACCGACAGCCAGGCCTGGGCAGGAGTGACCTCACTCGAGCGCAGCCTGCCTACAGCGGAGCCCATTCCGAAGGGAGGAAGGGGTGCGATGCTGCCAGCCCTACCCCCTGCCTGTCGCTGCCCAGTGTGCCTGAACTGAAGGGAGTCTGACTGGCTCCTTTCTCTCCAATGACCACAAGCAGGGGCCACCCCCGAGGATCACTGCATACCCTCCTCTCTCCGTCTTCACTCTCTGCAGATAACCTTGCCCCTGCTTCTTGGAGAAAATGGAAGCCATCAGGAGGAAATGCCGGCATCTGCACTCACGCTCTGTCCACACGCACACCGTGCTCCTGCTGAGAACCAGCCAGCTTGGAGTGCTGGGTCCAGCCGCCTCCCCGGCCAGCAGCTCCTCCCCCACAGCTTGCCTTCAGCCAACGCTCTGCAGCTCGCCCGCCCTGCAACACTCTTCCTTGACCACGTCTCCTACCAGCTACCGTCCCATCTGTCTCTCCTCTTTGCAGCAAGCACTCCTCAGAGGAGCTGCTCCCGTCCTCTCCCTGCGCTCCGGAGGCCACCCGGTCAGCTGTCCCCCAGGCCTCATGGTCACCAGTGTCCTCTACCTCTCTGCTCCTCCTGCCATCTGCCAGCAGCAGGACCCCACCCAGCTGACCATGCCTCCTGTCCACGTGACTGCTCAGACATCATCTTCTTTCGAGTTTCTTCTTACTTTACCCCAGCTCACGTGGGAGGTCTGGGAATCAGGTCTGGTCTCCTCTTACCCACACTCACCCGGGGGATCTCATTCAGTCTTGAGTCTTCATGTGCCGCCTGTTTGTCAATGGCTCCTATTTTATTTCACTTCCCTAGCTGGGCTTCTTCACTGAACACCAGCCCCTACTTCCCACTGCCTACTTCACTGTGTGAATCAAGCCGATTGGCAGCTCAAATTTGTATGTCCAAAACTTAACCCTGTCCACCCAGTGGACACCTTCTCTTTTCCTCATGTCTGCTGACAGAACTCTATCATTTCTAGTTGCTCAAGCCAAAAATAAAGTTATCCTTGACTCTTCTCTCATTCCACACCAACCCACTAGCTTAACAAGATGGTTGTGTGTTCAAAACTGCCCCCCAAAACCTGACCACCGAATCACTTCCTAGCCCCTGACTGCTTTCCTGCCTTTCCCCTGCCCCTCCGTCTGCCCACCCTGGAAAAACCTGTTCTCAGCATGCAGGCCAGAGTGACCCCTCACACATCAGGTCCCACGTCCTGCTGTGAGTCCTTCATGGAGGCCTGTGCCCCTGAACCATCCCCGCCTGCCACCGAGGGTCCTTCCTCAGACACTTGGCACGTTCCTGCCTCTGGACTCAGCCCTGGACACTGACCCTCTCCTCATATACTCATGACCAGGCTCCTCAGTTTCTCCTGGTGCCCCCTCTACATCTACCTCTCGATCAGTGTCACCGTGAAGGCCCCTTTATGACAATCCACCCAAGGCCTCCTCATCTCCAGACCTGCTCCATCCGTCCAGTAACTCATCACCTTCAGACACTATGCTTGTTGCTTGTCAATCTTACTGTGTGTAACTTAAACTGAGAAGGGGTTTTTCTGTTTTGTTCACTGATACCATTATCTAGAATAATGCCCAGCACATAGTAGGTACTTGAAATATTCGCTGAACAAGTGAAGTAGTCTATTTGTCAGCCTCTGGATTTCCTCATTACTTTCCCTGTTTCCTTTGCAATTCACTTCTCAAACTTCTGTGGAACGGCAAAGAGGTGTCACCGAAAAGTCAAGCCTAGCCTGGCGTTCTGGGCCTCTGTGGCACCCACTTTCAGAGGCTCACAGGCCCCCTGAGCTTTACAGCTCACTAAGTCCCCTCCAGGATGCTGTCCCTCAGTGACGGAGTTTCACGTGAACAGCAACACCGACGAGCCAAGTCAAGCCTTTGGTCTGTCCTGCCTCCCTCTGGTCTGACCATGCAGCTCCCGGACTCCATGCGTGGAGGCCCAGGCCCCGAACTTGACAGCAAAGCATGACTCAGCAGCAACACAGAGAGCTCCCACTCTCCCCAAGGTCTCCAGGCATTTCCGCTTCTGGACCCTTGCATGTTCTCTGTCTCTGTGGCACTTGAGAATCATACCCTCTGCAGGCCACACACTCTAGGGAACTGGGTGTTGGGCTGTGGCTTTGCCATTTCAGGCCCAGTTCCTGGCAAGTTATTGAAGGGCAGTCCACTGCACAAGCCAGTGACTGAGCTTCTGAAGGTGCAAGGACTCAAGGGGAGGGGAGCACTTCTGAAAACACAAATACTAGCCAGCAATGTGACCCACGATATCTAACATGCCAATCTGGTTTGATTTTTGGATGGGTTGTCTACCATGTGAAAGGACTTTCCCATGGAGACAATGCTTCACACATGCTTCCCCACGGATGTAACACACCCTAAGGGAATGGACTGCCCCTCTACCTGGAACAGTTAGATGTCATTCATCATCTCTATTGCTGCAGAGATCATCTATGGCCAGAGACTAGTGACCTGGTAATAGCTGATCAGCTCCTGCAGCTCATCTGCGTGAATAACAATGTGAAGACCACACAGCTGTGCCAGGAAGAACTCCTGCCCATCCACGCAGGCCAAGCACACCTGGGGAGGCCAGGCCAGGCAGCGTGAGCATCCCCAAGACAGGGCGCAGCACCACCAGACTGGCTGCCAGGGATGCAACTGCAAGGAGAAGTGTCAGCAAAAGGAGCTTCTCAAGTTGGATTCTGAGTAAGTAGGTGACTAAGGTGGGTGCATGAGCCCGGGAGAAAAGATACTGGTATTTCTAATCTGCAGGTCAAGGGGGTGTTTGAGATCACGGAGAGAAGAGGGCTCACGTGTTACTCTAATGCTGAGATGAGGAGTTTGCTTAGGCGACAGGAAAGTGATGCTGGATTTTAGGTCTGGGGTTTGAGATGGGTTTGACAAGGCTCATGAATACCAGCCGTCAGAGCACATTCCGCCTGAGGGCTGTGTACAGGAGAGGAGCTTGCCTTTGGCATTATTTTTAGGCAAAGTGCAGTATGCACACTTAATGACAACAGGTTTTAAGAAGTGAAGAACCCCCTGTGCAGAAAGATGCTTCTGCTCAGAAAGACTCAGGCGGGCCCTCGAGCTGCAGACAGCGCCTCTGACAGGCAGAGCTGGTTTCCCTCGAAGTCCCCCTAACTTCCCGTCTTCTGTACGCAGCGAGTGTTGTCACAGGACATGAGGCAGAAAACGCAGATAAACAAAAATGATTACACAGCTGCGAGATAACTAGTGGTTATCCTGAAACATGATCTTTGCCCATATATTCTGTATGACACCCACACTGGCACCCGTCTGACCTCTCACACACACACGTACAACGGCATCACGCTGGACGTCCTACCTGCAGCGTATTTCTCAGGGAGTGTGGAGACACCTGTGACCCTGCCTGCTCGTTCTCCTTAGCAGGGCAGAGCTGCAATAAATACATTATATAACGAAGGCCTTGATAGTGGATTTTTACGTTGATTTTAATTTTTTATTAAACACAATGCTTTGGAGGTTCACTGAAGCTAACTTTTTTGCACATCTTCTTACAAATTTCTCCTTATCTTTCTTTCATCTTATAGATGATTCTTACAGATATTATCAGAGAGCTCTAAGACAACCCACCTTACCAATTTACCAAAATAGACCAGCAATGTCAATTTACACTGATTATGCTACTAAAAGGTGATATGATTTTTAAAAACATTGTAAGTTATGATACTACTTAAAATATTGGTAGTTCCACACTCTTCAGACAACTCCTAGGAGCTGACTAGTCCAGCATGGGGGCTTCCTGGTCAGCTTACAAGGCTCTCTTAGCCTTCCCAGGAGACTCAGCACCCAGCCTGGACCAGGCAGGCGCCCAGACGCATCCTGCTTGGCACAGGGTGTGGAGCACGGGAGGAAGGACGAGGGGAGGAGGCCGGTAGGCCGGCTCTCCCCCGGACACTCCTGGGCCTACCTCCTTCCACGTGCGCGTGCTGTCGGCCTTCTGGCTGCTGTCCACAGCGGCCTGGTACTCCCTGAGGTGGACCAGGGTGGAAGCCAGGCAGGCAAAGTTAGAGACACTGCTGAACAGCAGCTTGGCGGCCCCGTACATCCCCTCCTCGTAACAGCGGTCTCCAACCTGCAACAGTCAGGGAGCTGTGCTGAAACCTTCTTAAGTGGGAAGATTCCCCAGGGCTGCAGTTCCTAGGTGGCAGGGGTACTTTCTGTTCTCCGGGGAGGTGAGTATACTGATCACACAGCAGGCTGGGTCACTGTAGAGTCCTGAAGGACAGAGCATGCCCCTGTGCACACTGGCTGTGGGGTCCCACACCTGGGCCCGGCCTGGACGTGTGCTGCTTGCTGCTTCCAGGCCAGTCCCTACCGCCCCACGTAACAACTGCTGACCAGGAATTTGCAGGGATCATGCAGCAGCCCTCACTCCTGCTGCCATCCACAGGTTGTCCTTGTTCCCTGACAGCTCCAGCTTTTTTTGATGTCCTCTGCTCTGAGGACTTGTGTCCTCAGGACCACAGCCAGTCACATGCCCAGGAACCCTGGCACAAGAATCACTTCTCTGCCTGCCATCCATCCCTGTCCTGCTTACGGCCTCAAGCACCTCAACTCCTACCCCACCCCCGGGCCTGGCTGGCCTGCCTGCCTTCCTCCCCGTGGCCCACCGAGGGCAGTGGTGTGCGGCTCCACCCTCACTCCCAGGTTGCATCTGGCGGTATAGGAGACTCAGCACCCAGCCTGGACCAGGCAGGCGCCCAGACGCATCCTGCTTGGCACAGGGTGTGGAGCACGGGAGGAAGGACGAGGGGAGGAGGCCGGTAGGCCGGCTCTCCCCCGGACACTCCTGGGCCTACCTCCTTCCACGTGCGCGTGCTGTCAGCCTTCTGGCTGCTGTCCACAGCGGCCTGGTACTCCCTGAGGTGGACCAGGGTGGAAGCCAGGCAGGCAAAGTTAGAGACACTGCTGAACAGCAGCTTGGCGGCCCCGTACATCCCCTCCTCGTAACAGCGGTCTCCAACCTGCAACAGTCAGGGAGCTGTGCTGAAACCTTCTTAAGTGGGAAGATTCCCCAGGGCTGCAGTTCCTAGGTGGCAGGGGTACTTTCTGTTCTCCGGGGAGGTGAGTATACTGATCACACAGCAGGCTGGGTCACTGTAGAGTCCTGAAGGACAGAGCATGCCCCTGTGCACACTGGCTGTGGGGTCCCACACCTGGGCCCGGCCTGGACGTGTGCTGCTTGCTGCTTCCAGGCCAGTCCCTACCGCCCCACGTAACAACTGCTGACCAGGAATTTGCAGGGATCATGCAGCAGCCCTCACTCCTGCTGCCATCCACAGGTTGTCCTTGTTCCCTGACAGCTCCAGCTTTTTTTGATGTCCTCTGCTCTGAGGACTTGTGTCCTCAGGACCACAGCCAGTCACATGCCCAGGAACCCTGGCACAAGAATCACTTCTCTGCCTGCCATCCATCCCTGTCCTGCTTACGGCCTCAAGCACCTCAACTCCTACCCCACCCCCGGGCCTGGCTGGCCTGCCTGCCTTCCTCCCCGTGGCCCACCGAGGGCAGTGGTGTGCGGCTCCACCCTCACTCCCAGGTTGCATCTGGCGGTAGGTACTTGCTCAACCAAACCCCAGTCTCTCTTAGAGCTGTTCTTCGTAGACTCCACATCTGGGACTGCGGAGGCAAATGCAGATGGCCAGGGAAACAAAAGCAAAAACAGGCAAGCGGGACTAAATCAAACTAAAAAGCTTCTCTACAGCAAAGGACACCATCAAGATAACAAAAAGACAACCTACTGCACGGGAGAATATATTTGTAAATGACATATCCAGTAAGGGGTTAACAACCAAAATATATTTTTAAAAACTCATATGAAGCAACACTAAAAAAGCAAAACAAAAACACCCCAATTACACAACAGGCAGGGGACCGAACAGGCATTTTTCCCAAGAAGAAATTCAGATGGCCAACAGGCACATGAAAAGATGCTCCACATCGCTAATCATCAGGGGAAGAGAAATCAAATCCACAATGAGATACCACCTGGCCCCAGTCAGAATGGCCACCACCCAAAAGACAAGAAATAACAAGTACTGATGAGGCCATGGAGAAAGGGGAACCCTCCCACACTGGGAATGTAAATTGGTGTAGCCACTACGGAAAGTGGTAGGTGGTTCCTCAAAAAATTAAAAACAGAAATACCATATGACCCAATAACTCCACTTTTAGGAATTGACCCGAAGAAAACAAAATCTCTGATTCAAAAAGATATCTGTACCCCCACGTTTATTGCTGCATTATTTACAATAGCCAAGATATGGAAGCAACCTAAGTGTCCATCAGTAGATGGATGGATAAAGAAGATGTGATACATATACACAGTGGAATACTATTCAGCCATAAAAAGAAAGAAATCCTACCATTCTTGACAACATGGATGGATTTTTTTTTGTCCCAAACTCATTTATTGAAAAATACATCTTATCTCTCTGACAGAAAGGCTATCTTTGTTATATACTAAATTTCAATATGTAGTTGCTCTTATTTTCTACACTTTTAGTCTATTCCACTGATAAGTTTGCCTGTTTATATGCCAGTAGTCACAGTAGCTTTATATCATGTTTTACAATTTGGTGGGGACTAGTTCCCTTTCTTTACTTTTCTTTTTAATTTTTTATTAAGGTATGATTGATATACACTCTCATGAAGGCTTCACATGAAAAAACAATGTGGTTACTACACTTACCCATATTATCAAGTCCCTCCCCAACCCCAATGCAGTCACTGTCCATCAGTGCAGCAAGTTGCCAGGGATCCACCATGTCCCTTCTCTGTGCTACACTGTTCTCCCTGTGACCCCCCACACCGTGTGTACTAAACATAGTACCCCTCAGTCCCCTTCTCCCCCCTCCCCACCTCCCTTCCCCACCCCTCCCCTTTGGTAACCACTAGTTCATTCTTGGAGTCTCTGAGTCTGCTGCTATTTTGTTCCTTCAGTTTTGCTTCATTGTTATACTCCACAAATGAGGGAAATCATTTGGTATTTGTCTTTCTCTGCCTGACTTATTTCACTGAGCATTATGTCCTCCAGCTCTATAACATGGATGGATTTATTATTATTTATTTATTATTTATTATTACTATTGCGCTCAACGAAATAAGCCAGGCAGAGAAAGACAAATACCATATGATTTCACTTACATGTGGAATCTAAAACCAAACCAGACCAACAAACAAAACAGCACAGACACCGAGAAGAGACTGGAGGTCATGGAGGGGTTGGGGTAGGCGGGTGAAATAGGTGAATGGGATAAAGATGCACAAAATCTCAATCATAACAGAAATTAGTTATGGGGATGAAAATACAGCATAGAGGATATAGTCAATAGTAACATCTTCCTATGTTGACAATAATTACACTAGTTGGAGTGAGCAATTAGTAATGTACCTACTGAATCACTATGTTGTATACTTGAAACCAATATAACATTGTATATCAACCATACTTCAACTAAAAAAGACATTAAAAAAATGGAAAAAGAAAAAAATGCAGACAGCCAAATGCCAAGGTGCCAACTGGTCACTCTTGAACTTCATTATGATACTGACCCAGAGGCGCGTCAACACCAGCAAACTCAGCTGCCTTAGCCCAGGGTCCCTCCTGGCCAGCCGTGTCCTGCCTCCTCCGCACCTCAAAGCTCCGCAGGCTGCATCACTGGCATCCCCACTCCTGGGGAAGCAGACGCCACAGGAAGGGCCCTTCCACAGGTTCCGGGACCTGCCTGCCCCTCGCTGCATCTGTGGCCCTCATCTGGCCGTCACGGCCAAGTCTCAGAGCGCACACGGCCCCGCCTCCTGCCCTGCTCAGGTCGGCGCCCCGCCAGCCCCTGCGGGGATTCCCTCCTACACGCGTAGGGAACCATGATGTCCCTCAGCTCAAAACCAAAGCGAACAATCCTCACTCTGACCTCAGCTCAGCTCTTGGCCACTGGTGTTTCTACCCTGTCCTCTAGAGCGACTGCTCAGAAGGCTGACTGTTCTCGGAGCCACCCCAGCCTCCTACTGTCCTCTCGGGACCCTGCGCAACCCGGCTCTTGCTGACTCCTAGTGGCATCACCGTGGCCCCTTCTCCACCCTGTGATGGCCGCATCTAGCTTACTCATCACGCCCTCTGACAGACCCCGACGCACTTCCTTCCCTGCATGCCCTGCTCACTTTTCTCCCCTGGCCCCAGCCACTTCCCGTTTCCACTTCTTGCTGCCCTGAGCTTTGGAGTGCCCTGGCCTCAGGCTTTGGCCTCCCGTGACAATCCCACGTCGCAAGTGTCACCTGCACACTGAAGGCTGCCACTCTCCTCCTAAGTGGACTCCAGTATCGGGCTGGACAGACCCCACGAATGTTGAGTAGAGATCAAATCTGTCTGAATGTGAGTCCTGATGCCCTGCAAGGCAGGCTTCACGTGGCGCCCCACTAGCAGGCAGGGGCCCATCTGGCCAGGGCTGTCCATGCCCCCAGCTCGGACCTGCTGCTCCCCGCTCTCGTGTGCCCCCACTATATCCCCGAGCTCCCCTCCCAGCTCATGAGAAGCTCTCTGCTGCTTGCCCTGACTACCTTACTTGAGGCTGACACCAGCCCTTGCCCGGGCCACTCACCAGCCTTTCTTCGCCTTACTGCTCCTGCCTCTGTCCTGCAGTCTTTTTTCAGCACAGCAGCCAGAGGTGTTCTGGTAACACCTAGATCAGAGCACATGCCCCCTCTGCTCAGAACCTCCCAGTCTCACCCAGAGCCCTGCCGGGGCCCACAATGCCCCACACGTGGCACCAGCGCCCTCTCTTTGGCTGGAACTCCAAGCCTCTTGACTGTGATCACCCTGCTTCACCTGCCTGCTGTGTCCGTGCTGCTCTTGCAACACAGCCAACACCCCTTGCCTTGCACTGCTATCCGCTCCGCCCTTGGGTCTCTTCCCCCATTGGGGTGCAGACTCAAGCACTCCCTTCCAGGACCCTTTCCCGGCCTCCCTGTCCAGAGCTGCCCTGCCCACCTCACACCATCACCTGCCCTGACACTGCCGGACCCTCCCCGCCGCACCTTTCTCCTTTCCTCTTAGCAGGCCACAGATTTCTTGAGTGGCTCTTAGGTTCCACGAAGGCAGAAACCTGACTACTATTTTCATAGCTGCATCCAGAGCCCCCCTACCACGGCACATGGTAGATGCTCAATGAGTTTTCTGAGTGTGACTCACAAATACAGAGAACAGACCAGTGGTTGCTGTGGGGAGAAGGGAGGGAGACAGAATAGGTGAAGGGGATAAAGAGGGACAAACTTCCAATATAAAATAAGTCAAGGGGATGAAAAGTACAGCATAGGGAACATAGTCTATAGTGTTGTGATAAGTTGGTGTGGTGACAGCTGGGGACTATGCTCGTCATGGTGAGCATTCTGTAATGTAAATAACTGCCAAGTCACTGTGTTGTACACCTGAAAATAATGTAACATTGAACGTCAACTATTAAAAAAACGTTTGTTGAATGGATGAATTAATAAAGTACTGTATCAAAGGGTGTGCTCCTTTAAGACTCGGTACTGCCAATTTACAGAGAAAACGAGTTAAATGACATCATAGGAGATGCAGTCAGCAAAAGCCAGACTGTGGGACACAGACACAAGCAGGCAGTGGGCCAGACCTGGCTGGATGTGCCTCTGCCCTGGACGCCTGGCCGGGGCAGGGAGCGTGCCCGGCCTCGGAGCCAGCACAGCAAGCCAAGCCACCTGCGCTCCCGGGTCTCGCTGGTCGCTTGTTGGGATTTAACTGCTGCATGGCCCAGGGCAGCTCCTCTAACTATTGTATTTAACAGATTCACTAGCCAGGAGAATCCTGTTATTAATTCAGAGAGAAATTTGGGTTAAAAAGTTTTGTTTTCTAACATTTTTATTAATTTTGATTATAAACGTAATTTTAAAAGTCACAGTCACTAATTAAAAAAAGAACTTGGCAAACACAGGCGATAAAAGGGAAGTAATATAAATTGCCCAACTCCATTATCTCAGTCATCACTGTCCCCATCTGGGTGTTTTTCTAGGTGTATATGTTCATTATATCGTACATGAAGGTTTTCACTCTGCTGGAACTTATTTTGAAAGCTTTTTCTATCACAAACAAGGCTCTACATTCTTATAATGGCTGTAATATAGTCTATCAGTGGACGTCCTTTAAGGATTTCCTTTTGCTGGACATTGCTTTTAATTCTTAGTATAAGACATGCTGCAATGATTAAACACATATGTGTAAAGCTATATAGACCTTTCCTACTTTCCTGGGATATATTTTTACATCTAGACCTACAGGCTCCACAATCAGGAATATACATATATTTGACATTTTTATGCATTAGATGGACTGGTAGTTTCCTTTGTGCATTCTTCCACTGCTTACATGCCTAAGATATAACATACTAAGATTCAAATAAATTTTTAAATATTTTTTATTAAGGAAAAATCCCTTCAATTTTTACCTGTAATTCTGTCATCTGGAACTTAATTTTGGTTTCAGAATTATGTTACGAACTTTTAACCCCTTTAAAAACTCTAACCTACTAATCTCCGGCAACTGGACCCGACCTGAAGGAAGAAACCAAAGCCCCCTTCCGCGTCATGTCAGCGAAGTGTGTGTGTTCTGTCATGAAGGGAGCGCTGGCAGTCTCTGCTGCCACAGTACACTCGTTATCCTTTGTCTCTATCACTTCTTCCAAGGGCAACATTTTACCCCTGGAAATGGCAGGCTTTACAATTATATTTAGATTTTTCTTTCATGTCATGTTTTTTTGGTAAGGCTTATTTAAACATTTTGGTTTTATTCCTACTTAAAAAGGAATTTCTTCCCCATCATGTTATCTGATAATTGCTGACATATGGGAAAGCTACTCATTTCCAACACATTTCTGATTCGGCCGTTACTCGGCTCACTTGGCTCTCGGGTGGCAGCAGCTACAGCAGCTGCCCGTCGCCCTGACGTCCTCCTGTCTGGGAGAATCACTCTGAGGTGCCCAGCGAGGCCTTCACTTCCACACCAGGGACGGTGACGAGGGACCTACTGCGCCGCGTGGCCTGTTCCTCACCACCACAGGTGGGGGCCCCTCTGCAGAGTGACACCTGACCCTGCCTGCAGGGGCCCACAGTCTCAGGGCACAGCCTACCTGCTGGATGTGGGCACTGTTGGGTCCATTAATACAATCTTCCAGCTCACACAGACGGCTAGTTTTAGCAAAGGCAAAAATAAGTTCAGTCTCTACATAGAATTCATGGCCCTTTTTTCTGGCCATCTGCAGGAATTTAATCAGATCCTCCCAATTGTCTAAAGACAGAAAACAAAAATAGGTTAACCCAGAGCTGCTAAGTTTATACAGGGGCTCAGCCATCCAGTCTGTCCCCAGCCAGGATGTGCACCCCTCACTCTGCCTTACTGGGGGCTCGGGCTGCAGGGAAGGCCCAGAAGCCCTATTCTAGCCGGGAGAAGGGGACCAACATGGGAAGCTCCATGGCACCAAGGAAAGCCCTCAACAGGGCACAGGACGCTTATTCCAGCCACTGCGGAGCTGGTGCCACCATCAACTGTGAAGGCCAGAGGGAACTTGGGCCTAGGTCTCCGACCATAAAATCATTATGACAATGCTATCCATTATATTTCAACTACTTAGTCTTGTGAAAGAGGGAAACAGTGAGCTGAAGAGCTAGTGTCAGTAACAGAACAGTTATCTCAGACTCTTTTGGAAAACTCTCACTCAGCCACATCTTCCGGATCTCTGGATGTGCGACGCACACGGACCCGAGGGGCCACACCCTCGTCCTACGGGCTTCCCACCAGGGAGCAGCAGGGCTCTCGGGGGGGAGGTTCACTTACTGCTTCCGCTGGCTGCCTGAACAACCTCCAGGTAAGAGGAAGCGTCGTCAGCCCTAACGTAGGAGTCGATGGCTTCCTTCACCAGGTCTTTCTGGAGCTGGGCGTAGGCCAGCTGGCTCCACACAGCAGGCTCACCGCACCTCTCTGCAAACTCGTACGCTCGGTCTAGGTTTACAATGTGCTCAATCAGGACCTAAGGGTTACAAGAGGGCTTTCATTCTCCCCAACACCCGGTCAGCTCTAGGGAGCAGATGACTTCTGTTTAGTTCCATATTGTACTTAAAGTTGAAAGACCATTTCAGTTCAGTCCAAAGCAAATGGGCATGAAGTATTTGTTAGATGAGGCCTGGAGGGACAGGGTGAGAACGACTGCATGGGGAGGGCGATGCCAGACAGAGAGGATGCTCCAACAAAGAGGCAGACGGAAATGGAGACGGTCAGGCTAGGCCTCTCGGGGCGTGGCCTGACACGGGAGCCGGCTGCTCACCTTGCAGTGGGTGACAGTACAATGGAGCACGTTGGTCGTAAAAAGGTTCAAAGTTCTGCTATCGGGAATGAGATAGCTCATCAGGCAGAAACAGGCTTACAGGGCAGCCTGCAGGGCTGGGGTGCAGCAGCTTCCCCCCACATAGTTTGGTCTCAGAGCAAGGCAACAGCCTATGTGTGAACCAAACAGAGGAGCTTCTAGATTGGAGATTTCATGGGCAAATACTGAAAAACTGCAAAGGAAGAGGTAAAGACAGAAAGGATATTGCTAAGAGAGGAGTTAAAGTAATCTGTCCCGTGGCTTACAATCAACTTGAAAATAAAGCTTGAAAAAGCCAACAGACCGGGAAAAAAGGGATGAGGGTAGCAGGAAGTTCCCGGGGTGGTCGAGCACAGGCAGGAGGGCTGGCAGGGAGCTGGGGGGCTGAGCAGCACGGGAGTGAAGGGCCGGAATGACCGTCACGTGTGAGAGCCTCTGAGGATCAGACACTCCGGTCACTAGGGCTGCCCACACAACCTTGTGTCAGGTAACTGAGTCCAGGAAAGTGTCGGGGAATGATCGGGAAGCACGTAACAGCCAGATGGAAGGAGCACCAGTGGAGAAGCAGCCAACAGGCTCGGAATGTGGGTTGCTGGCGAGCAGGGAAGGGCACAAAAGCTGAGGGGCACCAGACAGCCAGAAGGTCTGGCACCCTTGGCGATGATGAGGACACAGTTTGGCAAAGGGTGACGGGGTCCAACACAGAGCGCTAAGCAGCTCCCCAGGACTGCTGAGGCGTTTACAGCGAACTTGCAGAAGATGGTGAAAGCCTCCTCATACAGTGCATTGGTGATGGCGATGTCTGCAGTGTCTGGGGCATCACAGTTGTCCAGGCGGCTGATGTACTCCATGACCCGGTGCGGTCCACCTTCATGGCAGTCAGGATCAGCAGATTCTGGAGATTCCTGAGGAGAGGTAGCAGTCGGCGCAGTGTCAGGGATGAAGGCTGGGCAGGTGGCCAGCCCCAAAGCCCCAATTTAATAAAAGTATTTAATACGCACATACGACCAGTAGGTAGATACAACAGAATATTTGTGAAGTATACGGGGTCTTAAGCCTTGGAAAGCAGCAGCTAGGAGAGCCCACCGATCACTGGCGCTGCGGCAGCTGCTCCGGGAGCCGCCACTGCCCCCAGCGCAGAGGTGCCCGTCCTGAGGCTGTCAGCTGCGTGTGACTCTTTAGGCTTACCGTACATACTGTACATGTAAGCAACATAGGTAGTTTTATACTTTTTTGAACTTAACTTTTCTTTAGTCATCCTGGATGCATTCTTATAAAATGTGTTTTCCTTCACCCTATTCAAAACTGTGGGGGTAAAAAAAAAAAATCAATGTGATGCACCACATTAAGAATCTAAAAAAGAAAAACAACACGATGATTATCTATTGATTCCGAAAAGGATCTGACAAAATCCAACAACCATTAACAATAAAAACTCCCACTAAACTAGACACGGAACTTCTTCAACCTTATGAAAGACACCTACACAAACCGGCAGCCACTCAGCACTGAGGTCAGAGATGAGACGCTTCCCTCAGGACCGGGAACAAGACAAGGACAGCAGTTCGCGCCGCTTCTGCTCAGTTCTGTCCTGGAGGCTCTGGTCAGGCATTTAGGCAAGAAAAAATAAATAAAAAGCATCTAAATGAAGAAATGAAACTGTCCCTATTTGTGAGCAACATGACTGACAGAAAATTCCAAGAAATCTACAACAAGAAAAAGTCCTAGAACTACTAAGTTCAGCAAGGTTGCAGCAAGGTAAAAAAAAAATCAATTGTACTTCTAAATACTAGCAAACATACAACTGTAAACAAAACAAAAAACCCCGTTACTTACAATAGCTCCAATGACACAAAATACTTAGGTAAAAATCTAATATGTATACAATCTATATACTGAAAACTATAAAATGCTGATGAGAAAAATCAAAGATCTCAATAAATGGATATAAACATTGTGTTCATAGATCAGCACAGTAAAGATACCAAATCTCCCCATATTGGTCCACAGATTTCATGCAATTCCAGACAAAATCCCAGGAGAGTTCCCTGCAGATAAAGACAAACTAATTCTCCATTTTGAACAAGAATGAAGTTGGAGGAATCATTCTATGTGGCTAACTGATTTTTGACAAAGATGAGAAGACAGCTCAGGGGAGAAAGGACCCAACAAATAATGCTGGAGTGACGGGACATTCACATACAAGAAAATAAACTTCAGCCCAAACCCTCATGCCTCACTGGGTACTGGACCAGAGGTCTAAACGCACAATGTAAAAACCACAGAACCTACAGAAGGAAACATAAGAGGGAATCTTTGTGACCTGGGATTAGGCAGGGAGTTCTTAAAGTAACATCAAAACGCAACCCACTAAAGAAAAGTTTATGGATTGGACTTGGTCAAAATAAAAACTTTTGCTCTGTGAATGATGCTGTTAGAAGAATAAAAAAGCTACCTACCCTGGGGAAAAAATATTTGCAAATCATAAATCCAACAAAGGACTTAAATCCACAATGTATAAAGAACCCTCAGTAAAAAACAGTAAAAAACCAAATAACACAATTAAAAAATAGGCAAAAGACTTAAAGAGACACTTCACCAAAGAGGATATATGGATGGCGAGTAAGCACAAGAAAAGCTGCTTAACATCATTAGCCATCAGGGAAATGCAAATTAAAGCCACAGTGACATACCACTCTATGCACAGCACAGTATCAAGCGCTCACGAAGATGCAGAGCGACTGGAATTCTCACACATTGCTGGTGGGAATGCAAAATGGCACAGCCTCTCTGGGAAGCAAGAGTCGGGCAGTTTCTTAGACAGTTAACCACGTGTACCATGTGACCCAGCAACTACTGGATATATTCAGAGAGAAATCTGGATACAGATGTTTACCGCAGCTGTATTCACAATCATCCAGACTGAAAACAACCCACCTGTCCTCCAGAGAGCAAACGGACATGCGCACCATGGAGCAGTCGTACAGTGGTGCGTGCTTTTCAGTAACTATGGAACAACAAACTACTGATGCACACAACTTGGACGACTCTCAAAAACTGAAAGAAGCTAATTTCAAAAGATGCCACACTAAATGATTCCTTACGTGAAAGTCTTGAAAAGGCAAAACTACAGCGCCAGGAACAGACAGGCAGACGCCAGAGGCGCAGGGCTGGGGAGACGTGACCGCGAAGGGTAGCTCGCATAAGGGAGTCACGGGGGGTGAAACTGTTTGTGTCCTGACTGTGAGGGTCACACAGATCTGGGTGCGGCAAGATTCCTAGTACAGCCGACCATTGAATAGGTGGGGGCTAGGGCCACCAACCCTCCACACACAAACCTGCTTAAAACTTTTGACCCCTGCAATATAATAAGTTATAAGAAGTATATATTTAGTCTTCATAGTTCCTGAAAGCACTTCAAGGCCATGAAAGTAATGGGTATCTTGTTATGTTAATGACAGTCTTTTGGACCCCACCAAGGGTGGGGGCTGGTTGCTTAGGGGCACAGGCAAGCAACGTGATTAGGAGATGGGAACTCAGCCCCTAGTCCCCAAGCCCTGGGAGGAGAGAGGGCAGAAGGGCTGGGGGCGAACCAGCCAATGGCCAATGACTTAAGTCAATCATGACTATGTAATGAAGCCCTCACAAAACCTGTAAGAAGAGTATTTTGCTCCCCTTTGCACCCTGCTTCCCGGTCCGAGAGTTTCCATGCTTAGGGAACCAGAATGCCTCCGGGCCTCCTCATGCCACTGAGCCAGGACCCAAGCTCCACGAGGACAGAAACTCCTTTGTTCGGGACCTTGCCCTAAATACCTCTTCGTCTGGCTATTGCATCCTTTATTAAACTGGTAAACGTGTTTCCTAAGCTCTGTGGGCTGCCCTAGCAAATTAACTAAGCATAAGGGGGGAGGTCATGGGAACCACCAAATGTATAGGCAGTAGGTCGGAAGCACAGGTGCCTGCCTGCGGCTTCGACTGGCATCTGGAGTCGGGGGGGTAGAGGGTCGTTTTGTAGGATGGCCTCAGTATTAAGAAGAATTCTCAGACATTCTGCTGATGTTTGAGAACTGCTCGGTGTCATAGGTGGGAAAACCCTCTCCAATGCATACACATTGGATTAGGGTCTGGGAACCTGAACAGAATTGGTGTCAGAGTAGCGGAACTTGCTAGAATCAAACTCCCCCAAAACTTAACTACTAATAGCCTACTGTTGACTAGAAAACCTTTACTGATAACATAAAGAATACTTATTTTGTATTTTATATGTACTACATACTGCATTCTTACAATAAAGCTAAACAAAATATTAAAGAAATGGTAAGAGAAAGTACATTTACTGTTTTTATAAGTAGACCCATGCAGCTGAAACCTGTGTTGTTCAAGGGTCTACACTATACATCTTCCCCCAAAAAGGTCAATTTTACTGTGTAATACTTAAAAGACGAAAAAAATATTTAAAAGTTAGGTCCTAAGATTCCCTGTGCTGTGCACAGTATTCATGTCCACTGTGACGTGGTGCCCCACACAGGCTGTTTATAGAGGGGTGTCTGGGCGCTCTCAGATCTGGGCCACTGGAAACTGCTCTGAGCATTCTTGCCCATCTCCCAATATACGTGAGCCAACCTTCTTTATGGTTCACAGCCAAGAGCGGCACACACTCCTTTCCAAGTATAAGCGGCATTTTGAGCAGGGCATTAAGAGGCTGGGCTGCGCCACATTCCTACCGATGCTGATTAAGAGAGCCAGGTCCCCTGCTGCTCTGCGGGAGAAAGGGTACGGTGCGCAGCACCAGGCTGTGTTTCTTTGACGGCTGGTGCGGCTGAATTCCTGACTTGACTTGCTGGCTGGCTCTCCTCTCCCTGAAGGACTGACTGCTCAAGTGCACCGCTGAGGTTTTCCAGGTTGTCTGAGGTTTCTCTTTCATTGTCCGTTCTTTGTGCTGGTTTTCTGTTGCATATACATGTCGCAAATGTCATCCATTTGTAGCTTTTCCTTTTTTCATCTTCTTATGATAGAGGTCTGAAGTTTAACATAGTCCTATATATCAGTTTTTCACAAAAGGCTTCCATTTTTTTGGTGATTGTTTAAGTGTTCATCAGACCATAAATATATCCTTCTAAACATCAACTTGAAAAATATTATAATTTTATCTTTTATACTTTAATCCTTACATAGTGTGGGACAGATGTCCAATTTAAATTGTTTCCCATATAACCAATTGTCCCATTATTTATTGAAAAGTCTATTATTTCCATCTGTAAAGCCAGCTCTGTCACAAATAAATGTTGGACATAGATGTGGCTGCATTTTAGGGCTCCCTATCATAATGGCTTATTTCTCTAGTCCTTGCCCAAACCATCATGTCTTAATTTAGCTTTATAATAATTCTAGTTTAGAGTATGTACCATGCCAATCCCAACACCTACTCCCACCTCTTGGGTAATTTGTTATTTGTTTTAGGAGCATCTTGACTATTCTTGGCCTTTTTATCCTTTTGATTTAAAACTTAAAATCTCCTTGTCAAGTTCCATAAGCAAACAAATATGGGTTTTCAGTTCTGTTAAAAACTCTATCATCCTTCCTGTAGTGTTTCATTCCCTGCTCTTCGAGGCTTAAATTAGACACCCCTTTTACCTATACGTCTCTTAAACTCTCACATTTTCCACCTGTCTGTCTTGGCTATGTTCTTTCTATTTCTTCACATCTGTCTTCTAATTCATGTGTTCTCTAATGCTGCTAAACTCATTTGAGGTTTACTTCAATTATATATGTAATACATATATCATATATATATATATATATATATATAATATTTATCAAAGTTACTCAGCATTTTAAAAAATCTGCTTGATATTTTTTCGGTATTTCAGCACATGGCATGGAATTGCGCGTTCGGTGCCTGCTCGCCTTGACGTCACTGGCCCCCTGGACAGGCCCGACCCTCCTGTGACTGCCGGCTCACTAAGGGTGCCCTGCTCCCTGTGTGTTCTGTCAGTGTTTACCATGAGCTCATTCTCTATTTCTCAGAATGTTATCTGTCAGAGCACCGTGCAGCCTTGCTAGAAGGTATGTTCTACTTAAAAGGGTTTGTATTCGCCTTTGGCAGAGCTCTGAAGGCACTACCTGATGGCAATCACTTTAAATTCCTCAGTTGAGGAATATTTTAATATTACAGCAGTTCACCTGGATTTGCATGAAAACCCATTAAAGGACAAGGCAACACTGGTATATTCTTAGTTTATCCTTGCACTGAGGGTGTCTCTGTAGACTTGACAACTTTTTTGTAATGTAAGCCCTCAGGTCTAGTCCCCAGTCTTCCGTCCTGCAGGTTGTGAGACCCACACTCTAAGGGCAACAGGGTCTGGCAAGTCAGATTGTGTTCCTCCTACTTCTCTGGGGTTTTTTTTTTTTTTAAATCTCAAACTTATTTATTTACTTGCTAGCTCATTGATTCATTTACAAGATCAATTGTATATCTCATGTTTTAAATTTTTATCTCATCCTATGTTTTAAGTTTCCCTAGTGATAGGATCTGTCCAAGTACATAGGTATCTAGTCTGCCACACTGCGAAGGCTATTTTTACCTGCACACAAACCTGTCTGGTGAATCAGTCACAGAAAGAAGAGCAAGAACTTGAAGGTCCCCTGCATGTTAGAAAAGTCACTGTGTCCCCAGAGGCAGCGCACAGAATCAGAGCTACCTGCAGGTGTCCTTCTGTTAGAAGTGCCCACAAGCTAGTATCTATCGAAGGTGGTTGTCCAGACAGCAAGACAGAATATCCTAGACCCTCAGGTACCTTAACTCTGCCAGCCTGTCACCAACCAGTGCTTGATTCCAGTAACATACAATTTCACATTCCATAATTAACCGTACAGCATTTCCATTTAAACACGCACACACACGTTCCTTAACACAGTATCACAGACCTTGAAAGCTTTTCTGTTCTACAAAATAAATCTTAAAATTAAATCTTTACAGCAGGATTTATATAGTGTGAACATACTATAATCTCTCTGACACAGAAACTCTGATAATGAGTTTCGAAAGGCAACAAACACAGGGTGAGCGCACGCTGAGGCACGCTCTCCTGCTGCCAACGTGTTGCCCCAGCTGTTGTTCCCGCCAGAATGTTCCTTCTGTCCCAGCACCTGCTCATCACACTCCTACATTACGTCTCCAGGAAATCTTCCCTGTAACATACCTGGGACATAGTGGGCCCTAGTGTATATCAGCTCTTTTCTCTCAGTGTTGTGGTCAGAAACAACAGTGTGGGCCAGAGCAGTAGAAGGAAGGAAACCTTCCTGGAAAAGGTAGAACTTCGTTTGGGCTATGAGTCAGGTAGGACTTAAATGAGTGAAGGGAAGGGAGGGATGAAGGTATAGGAGGTGCTAAGACTGGCCACGTGCCGAGGGAGCAGCTGACGGTGAGGCGCAATTGTAACAGGTGGTGAATGTCAGGCAGGTGTTTGAACTGGACTGAGTTGGCAGTCCTGCTGGTGCACCCTCACCTGTGCTCGCTGAAGACAGAGCTATCCAGAATAATCTTCTCTAGCAGCTCAATTAGTTCGTTGGGCAGGTCAGCTGTCATGAAGGCCTTGACAGTGACTGAGATCTCTTCAGGATCCTGTGTTTCTGCCAATGCCGTTTGTACCACCTGTTTTAAAATCATTGGAGAGAACTTGGTCAGATAAAGTCAATTCAAGCCTGCATCTCTGAAGTTAAACAGAGGGGAAGGACTCCTCCCAAGAGAGTCTAGAATAGATGAGAAAATGGGATATTTCTCATGGCAGGAAGGGTGTCTACAGGAGTCAGCCTCAAGGATTTCTCTTTGACTGTCTTGTAAATTTACTCCAAAGCCAGTAACACAGTGCCCTGAACAGGTAGCTGAAATGCATGCTTCATTTTTTTTTCTTAAGCCACTGTTCAGAGCAGATATGGCCTCCATTTCTTTAGTGGAGATGCCACAGGGACCTCTTGCTAGCCTGAAGCGCCACTGCTGCTGTGGCCCAGCCTTTTCGGGGGATGCAGCCATGTGCACCCCAAGCTCCGGAGCCCTCAGAATGATGATGACAGAAAGATCAACAAGACTGGCTGCACCACCCTCATCAAAGTACAGCATCTCACCCACCAGAAAACTTACCAACTGGGGGGAAGACACTTTCCCAGAGAGCACACTTCACAAGCAACAGCAGGCTAGAAGACCGGCGCTGTTCTTGCACTTTGCACCAGAGGCCTTCGGTGACTTTAGGATCTGCCATTTTTGCCAAGTTTCTGATGTTCATCAGAGGTGGACACAGCAGTGAATTAATGAGAAAGAACAGACAGCTCTGAGGCCGGACAGAGCTGATACGCACTGTGGCCATGAACTTTAACTCTGCAATCATGAAGGGCTTCACAGGATCCAGGAACAAAGCCAGCCCAGTTCCCCTTGCACATGCGAGCCATGTACTCAATGGCTCAAAATGCAGAAGTTCCTCTTCTGAGGAATTTATAACAACCCCAACAGGCATGCTGGGGAGCTTGAGAAATGAGGCTGTCACAGTGGTTAAGTGCCCAAAGCACACTCGAGGGAAAGCACTGTGACCCAGCAGCCCAAGTTGACCCAGAGCAGTGATGCATTCCCTGGCATCACATGTTTCTTGAAACCTCAGATACCTTAAATACCCACTTGTTGTTTTAAGGGCAAAAATAAATTTCCAACATCTATTTGAGCTGAAATAGATGCCCAACCTAAGGTCACCTCAGGAAACCACTTCCTCTAAGTACATTTTCATAATGAGATTCTAGTCCAGACCTAAAAGCAGTCTGCCGCTGCTGTCATGCACCCCTCCAGTTAGAGGGGCACTGAAGGAGGACGCCCCCCAGGGGGTGGCTATGAACGTGGAGCCACACCGGGCATAATGACAGAGCGGCGGCTCCGCTCAGGCACAGGGAGGCCATGAGGCACTCACGGGCTCTTGATCAGCTCAGTGGTAAAGAGAGTCAAAACTGTTCTTCCTGGCGCATGTGATGCGGCCTGCATGCTGGGCTGTATCTGGAAATGTCTGTTGTCTGTGAACCTGGAGGAAGATCCCCAGTGGGATCTCAGCTGACTCTGTCCCAGGGCCTCTGCTGCTCAATGTCTTCATCAGGTTTTTGGAAAAAGCATATTGACCCTTTAGGTACATCTGAGAGATGCCCAAAAGGTGACTATAATAAAAATTCAAAATGACACAGGCTTCCATATATACTAAAGTGTTCCAAAATACATTGAAGAAAAAAAAATAATGCCATGGGCATGAGGAACAGTGGACAGCAAACAAGCAGCTGCGATTCCGTAGTTCCAGGTGGAAGCCAGCCGTCGAGTCACACAAAGGGCCCAGCGGGCCGGCCGTGAGCACAGGGAGCTGCCTGCTGACCGGCTCAGGGCTGAAGCCCCCCTGCTGGGTCGGGGTCTTGTTCCCACCTGATCTCGTCTGCCCAAACGGCGTGCCTGGCAGCCTGTGGGGCTGTGCTAGGGACGGCGGAGGGCCCGAGGGTGATGCCCGGGGCCTTGAGAAGCCCGCTAAGTGGCTAATGTCAACACTCCCCACCCTGCCACGCTGCCAGGGGTGGGCCCCAGCCTCAAGCAGGCGCTGCACAGTCACAGGGGCTCCAAGGTCCCTCGACAAAGGGAAGCCCAGCGGAGACAACCTTGGGAGCCACGTACCTCTGCCAATGGCAGCGAGCTGGAAAACTGTCAAGGATGAGGCGCGCGCGCCACCACAGGTGCCTCTGACTGGGGCTTTAGATATCAGCTCTGCCCTTAACCAACAAACCAAACAAGCAAAAACGTGAGCCCACCTTGGGATCAAACCATTTTTAGGCAAGTCGCTCCTAGAGGGGAGAGAGTGGTGAAGGTTCACAAGGCTGTCTGGTCATGTGGCTGAGGAGTTTTTAGATGTAACAAGCCAGTCATGAGCGCCAGGACGAGTAGAGGGGAAATGCACACACACACCCTGCCCTGCTCCCATGCCCCACCTGGTCAATCAGCTGTCTCCTGCAGGGGTTGGTCTCTTCGAGGACATGGGCCCAGAGCTCCGGATCCTTCCTGTGCACCAGGTAGCGGGCCTCAGTTTTGAACATAGAATTCTCATTGCAAACCTGAAATGAGCACACGTGTGTGTGTAACACAAGCAACCGACCAACAGCAGCTATGTGGGGGTATCCAGCCCAGCCAGTTCCCTCTCCCTGACACCTGTTTGGTGTCAGCCAGAGGAGACATAGTGCTTTGACACGGGACAAGCAGCATCCCAAAGGGTGACAATGCACTCCTCCGAGTGACAGATTAAGCACTTCTCAGTTTACAACAACTTACAGTGGGCATGATGTGTGAGAGCCCTACTCGTATCAGCCTGACCACTGCTCTAATAGCAGTGCTGCCCCACAGAACTTTCTGACAGAAACGTTCTTGGCCTGTGCTGTCTGATACAGCCACCAAGAGCCACAGAGGCTACTGAGCACTTGGAATGCAGATGTATGAAGGAGGAACTAAATCTTTACTTTTTTACTTTTAGCAAAAAATTTAAATACACATAGCTAGCCCTAAACCATCTCTAAAATATTATCGGAATGGCTTAGAACTGGTATGAAACAGCAGATATGCTGCAACATTTCATGGCCTATATGCTTTCATTTAAAATATGTTCTCATTGATTGAACTTGTGACTTTTCTGAACATTGTAACACATCTCCCAAAAAAGAACTGCCTGATGGAACATTCCAATTTGTGAGGCACTTACCAGGCCCTGGTGGGAATCAGATTTGTTAGGTCCCAGATGCCAGGCACAAGCTAAGTAACGAACGCGTGTCTGCAAATGCAGGTGTGTGCAAGAGGCAGGGAGCACCCAGGCGCCCGGCCCGAATCCCACCACAGGCCTCTCCCTGGCGGAGCAGAGCCTAATGATTGTTTCTTTCTTACCTGAACTCTGCCTTACCAAAAGGCAATGTTTTATCTTACATCGCCTTGGAGGACAGATGGATGCAAAGATCTCTGAGAGAGACCTGAACAGCACTTAAATAAAAAAAGCAGTAAATTAAGCCAAAGATGGCTTATAGTATCAAACTAACTAAGTCTCAGCTTCACACAAACAAGCTCCCTAGAGACTTGGCGAGGAGCTGTGTTCACCTGGCCTGTCACCTGCATGACCAATGTCCAAAGCTAGAGCAGGATGGGAAACTGCCTCAGAGCTTCTGCTCTGTACACCTGACCGCCCAGACTCCTTCCCCAGCGGCTGAGTTTCCATCACGTCGTCAGACGCTGTGAGGTGCTGGGAACAAACAGACCAACTGCCAAGGAGATCCCAGTCTAACAGGAACCAAGTGCACCCACACGAGACTGTGGGATTTTAGGTTATGTGATCAAGCATCAGCAGCTCAACCTAAAGAAGTCCAGGCAGATGCAAGTCAGGACAGAGGCCAGCAGGAGGCCAGCAAGAGCTCTGTGTGGGGAAGGGGCAGTGGTTATGTAGGGGCTGCCCTCAGGAGAGGGAAAGTGAGGAGGCGGGCACGCGGGACAGAGACACCCAGAGGGAGGTGGGAAGGAGGGGGGCCGCCCGCAGAGGAGCCCCCAGGGCAGGCCGAGGGGCCCTGCTTTGCTCCCTGGACGCCACGGGGCACCGAGGACTGTCAGGAGGAGAGCTGGCAAGTCAGACGAGGGGCCAGTCGGGCCTCCAGGTACAGCAGACAAGGACGGGCACGAGCAGGTCGTGGGGTTGGAGTCAAAAGGAAACTGAGTTCATGGGAATGTATCTCACGGCCTGCAGCTGTGGGGTTCAGAGGACGCCCGCCCCCACCCCCTGCAGAGCCTGCATCTGAAGCGCTTCCCCGGAGGCCAGAGGGACAGCCGGCAGCGAGGCCGACCCGCTGCCCACCTTGATGAGCTCAAGGTCACACTGCCCCTGCTCATAGGCAGCGCAGGCCAGACGGGGGTCCCGCCTCTCGCAGCAGTGGCCCACCACGCCCGCCTCTCGCAGCAGCGGCCCACCACGCGGCTGTCGTAGTAGGGGTTCTCTCTCAGGAAGTGCTCTGGGCTGCTGCAACTGTCCATGTAGATCCTGGCGAGGGCGTTGTGCATGGCAGGCTCTTCACAGCCTTCGCGACTCCGGGACTCCAGCCAGGGAAGCAGCAGCTTCAGCCTCTGAAAGAAGCGAGAGCACCCTGAGAGGGTAAAAGCTGGCATCTGAAACCCTGAGGGCAGCCCCTGGACCCTGAGAGTTGCGTTTAGAAACAACAACAATCTCTTGTTCCATGAATTTCTGGTTGCTCTAGGGGCCAGGAGAGGCTTGAGCCCCAAATTGGTTTCAGTTAAGTTTTTCCTAAAGGTCTTCAGTCCAGTACTAACTAACACCACTAGGTCTGAGATCTGTTAGGGGGCAGCCCGCCACAGAGCCAGCCCTTGGGCTGGAGGCCGCCTGCAAAGGCAGGCACCCGAGAGGATGAGACTGGGCAGCAAGCCCTGGGTCCCAGAGGCGAGAGAAGGCACCGAGCTAGGACGCCTCACCTGTTCCTTTTTTCTGCTTCAGCCACCAGCTCCTCGGTAGAGAAGTGTTCCTCTCACCCCCATGATCAGGTTTCTGATTACTTCCTCAGAACAATCCACGTCAAGCAGCCCTCCAACCACAGCTGGGATCCGACTAGGGTTGACCTAGAATAATCAAGGTGGTGACTTCTGCGCTGTAAGGACATGGCTATAAGACCCCCAAGGCTTGAACAGTGTGGATGTCTGAAAGGGCTCCTGTGAGGAACGAGACTGTGTCCCCCCAAATCCATATGTTGAAGCTCTAACCCCCAGTGTGGCTAGATTGAAGACAGGGCCTTGACAGAGATGATTACGGTTAAATGAGGTCCTGAGAGTGAGGACTAATTAGGGAGCAGTGAGCAGGTGGCGGCGTGCAAGCCAAGAAGGCCCGAGAAGCTGTTGGCCCGAGGCAGGGGCAGCACTCTGGCCTTGGCCTTCCAGGCTCCAGTCCTGCGAGAAGTCAGTGTCTGTCACTTACACGCCCCGTAAGTGGCGTTCTGCTATGATGGCCTGAGCCGAGACACTGCCCTTCACAGACTGTCTCAGACACGGTCAGAGTCACAGGCAGCCTCCTGGGTACAGACTATTACTAACCAAGGCACAAGGTAGCTGGCGTCACCCAGGAACGGGCAGTGCCTTCTGAACGTAGATCTCGATGTACTTCTGCAGACTGTTGTGGTATAAGTACAGGACGAGATCATGGACAAAGTCAAACCGATCACACACAATGATGGGGGGAAGCTGGTCTGTGAGCCTGGCCTCCTGTGAGTTGGAAAACATAACGAGCCAGGCAGTGAGCAGCCTGCCGAGCTAGGCCGCAGGGGCTGTGAGCCAGCACGGGCACGGCAGTGCTTCTGCAGCGGAACAGCCCCTCGGAGACTTGGAATGAGACTGTTCTAGACTGACTGCTGTTGTAAGGTGGGTGCTTCTGGGGGGGCACTGTGTGCTTTGGGAAAGACAAAACTGTATGAAAAAAAAATTCTGCTAGCTTTGGCAATAAACATTCCAAGCTGGTCCAAAGCAAACAGCCTTTGGGTTACGCCAAGCAGCTCATTATGCCTGCATCCGGCCCAGGCCAGGCTGTGTGAGAACGCCTGCGCAAGGGGCACCCTCTCAGGCAGGCAGCCACGCCCCCGAAGCCTCACCCACAGAAATCCCCCATGCGGGCTCCTCTGTACTCTTTCCTTCCAGTTGACCAGGAAGGCAGTTTTCAAGGTGATGGGAGGAAGACAGCAGGGCAGCCATCAGTGCGGACCTTCAAAGATGGGGGAAGAAAGCCACCCCACCTACCCCCACATCCACCCAGGACTGCACAGGAGGTAGAAATGTGCTGTTTGTTTTTTCTGCTCCCAGCACTGAGTGGTTTATTTCTATCTGCAGCCTTGCTCAGCCTAATTAACAGGGGCCCTGCTGGGGGTGTTGCCAAAATACAGTTCTTCAATAAATTAACTCTCTCCCACTCACATGTCAGACACTTAGCACAGCCTTAAGCTTCTGTCCACAAAGCGCCAGAAAGTGGGCAGTGGGTCCAAGAACTTTAGGCCATGAAGTAGAGCCCTGTCTCTGGGGATCCAGGGGCCTGGGGAGACAGGTCAGCCTTTCAACTCCTGGGTGGCTGACCGGTGGTTCGCTCAAGGAAGGAGGTGATACCGCGCCCACTCACCTTCAGGAAGTCCTTCGCCTGCTCTGGGTCACAGCGATCACTCCCCCGGCATACCCTCTCGACTTCCTTGATCCGCCCTATCTTACAGGCAGCCTGAATGTATTTCAAGTGCACGTCTGGATCTTGGCTAAAGTTTACAATTGAGACCAGGAAGTAGAAGAGGCCTACAAAGAGACACTGTTATAGCTTATGCCCCCATAATATCCACCTGCCCTCTCCACAGGTGCAGCCCACCTGCCCTTGACAGCCCAGCCCACAGAGACCTTGTTCCACTTTCCAAGACCCACGGCCTACTCAGAAATTACATCTATGTGACGTTCTTCTGCTTTGGCATCTCCCAGAAACAGCTAGCCGGATTTCCATGAAACTCGGAGGTAGACCTGGGATGTTCTGATGTAAAACCCTGGCTATACGTGTAGGTGGAATCCTTCTAGGGGACCCAGGCACACCTCAGAGGGTCCTCTGCAGGAGGAATTCAAAGATCGCTAAGTGGGCTGCATGACTGCTGCTCCACAAGGCACACCGGGGGCGGAGAGAGCAGTGCTTCAGCCCCTGTGAGGAGCGCTGCCTGGCACTGAGCCGACGCATGCGTGGAGCCACTACGGATGGGCCCAGGGTGAGCTGGGGGCGTGCTGACTCATCAGGCGTGGCTCTCTCCCGGCCAGCAGAGGGGCCGGCCAGGAGGCACTGGTGACAACGGCAGGCCATGCTGCACCACGATATCACCTTCCCCGGAGGGCTCTGCTGTAACTGGGGCCGGAACCGGCATCTGCAAGGCCCACTCTACTGCCGTCTCCCAGCCCAGGGCAACCCAGCCACTGCTGCGGCCTCTGCTCCTGGTGACAAGGCCGGCTCCCTGAGGCTGGTCTTCCCTTCACTCCTCCAAAGTCCCAGCCAGTGCACAAGTGCTCAGTCTGTCCTGGGCAGGCCGGACAGCCCCTGCCTGTCCCCAGCAGGCCCCCACCTGGGAAAGCCGTCCTCCAGCCAGTGTGCTTTCTCAGTGCGATACCCACAGGAAGCCAACCAGGTCAGCAGCCACACACCACCAGAGCCCCTCTGGGCTCTCAGCCGGGGAAGTCAAGGGGCCACCCCCTCAGGGCCACGCACGCCAGTGCCGCGAGCTCGGGGCTTCTGGGGTCTTGGCTGCTCAGTTCCACAGCGGCATTCCAGGGACACAAGGGGCATTCTAAGTCTCCCTTCCCCAACTACGGATTTCTTCCTTTGCAGACCACAAACAGGGTACCTAAGCTGTGTAACGCGTACAAGACTGCAGGAATCTTTCACTATCAACCAACACCCGAGGCGGTGACTGTTGCATCCCACTGGGCTCGAGGGAAGCCCCGATAGGCTGGGTGGGCAGAGTGACGTCCGAGCAGAGGCTGTGAGGTTCACCTTCATCACTCCTGAAGGACTCGAAGAGCTGCACCAGGGACTGCATGCCCAGCTGCTCATGGTACTTGCAGGCCACCTGCACACACAGCCGAAGGTTCTGTCTGATGCTGGCAGACAGCAGAGTGTGCAGACACGCCAAAGAATCATCTACCAACAAGGAGCCAAGGAAGCCGACGAGCCACTGGGAAGCAAGGAGGAATTTGTCCCCAACTACACCCAGGCCCAGGTGTCAGCAAACAACGGTCAGTGTCCCCTGAGTCAGACATGAAGAATTTCCACTTACTGGGACTGAAAAGCGACTGTCCCTTGTGGTAGTAAGTGGGAGCTGGAAGTAAACTTGGGATAAGACGCTAACTTCAGTGGTTCAGCAAGCTGTCATGGACCCTGCAACAGATCACGGCTGACAGCAGAGCCTGTTCTGTAAACCAGAACACAGCGGCTTCTGCTAATGGTCCAGACAGCCTGCTAGAGATGTCGACATAAAAGTTCCTCTCTATAGACTAAGTCAGAAGTGGGCAAAGGAAAGAAAGATGATGCGCTGCTGAGCAGGTGGAGTTTGTGTGGGGGCTGGATGGGACCACTTGTGGCAGTGACGAGAGTCAAGCGCAGGGAAGACACACACCACAGTCCCACAGCCACCGCCACATCCTGGAGTGCCAGTGGCCCTGAGGGCTGGGCCGGTGGGCCGCAGGGGAGCGCTGTACCTCATGATTGAGGAGGTGAGTGTGGATCACAGCCCTCTTGATGTCGTAAAGGTCGCTGTAGTGCTCCAGAGCCCGCTGCAGCAGGCCCTCCTTCTCACAGAGCTGAGCTATGTGCGCCCGGTCGTAATGAGTGAACATCTGGCTTCCCAGGATGGCATCTGCGACCTGTGCGACAGTGAGTCCGGTAAGAGAGCTGCAGGGGGTCAGTAACTTTTAAAGAGCAGCTGCTCAACCACACCCCACGGGTACTGCTCTGGAGGGTGGGGCAGTGCTTCACCAGGTCTGAGCCCTGGTTCCTTCCAAGTCAGCTGAGGCCCTTCGAACAAGGCCCGGTCACCCCCGGATACAGTCAGGTGTGTGCAGAAGGCTGAGGCTCTTCGCTCAACACCGTCACTGGGATCAGCCCGGGCTGCCGCTCCAGCCCTTCCGCCATCACATTCACAGGCAGCTTTCTGGGGCAGGGCCGACGGGAGGGCATGAGCCTGCCAAGCTTCCTTCTTTAAGGAGCTCGACCCTCAGACTAGGAGCAGTCAGACTAAGGCCTGAAAGTGACAAACCCTGTTCGGGTTGCTTCTCCGCCTGGAGTGGGAGGCTCACTCGAAGAACCTGACACTCCTGGCAAGAACTGTGATGAGGCTTGACGTCATCTTTACATAAGCAACCTCTGGGCAAAGAACGAGTGCGTGAGCACAGCGACCCTGCTGCCTCGCTGCAGCGCCCTGAGCCGCGATCGGGTCCAGCAGCTGGTCTGGAGGGGCAGCACTCCTGGGGCCTCTGCCTGCTGCCCGTACACTTCCCCGCTGCTTCCAGAGTGGGGAACACTGACCAAGTTCACGGGGACCACGGACCCGGTCTCACACCGTGTTACTCTGGGACTGTACACACACTGGGTCTCTTATAGAAATGGCATAAAACCAAATGTGATTTATTCCCAGAGGAATTAAACTTTAAACGAAAGGGTATTGACAAGAAGCCTACGTGTCAGAACCCGCACCAGGGAGTCACCCCGGCTGGGAGGGGGAGGGAGACTAAGAAAGAGCAGGCTGTGCATCCTCCAAAAAAAATGCAGAGAAGTTTTAAGCCAGCCAAAAAAATTAAGAAAAATGTAAAAAAAAAAAAGTCTAATATAGATATAACTTGCTTAGGCAACGTCTGGAGACAATGTGAACCCTGCAGCACTCGGCCAGCAAGGAGCCGGGGAGGGACTCGCGGGCTACGGAGTGACCTGCTTGCTGTGACCCTGAGCCTGCTGCTCCCAGACACCGGACCTCGCAAGGCCTCCATTAAAGCCTCGCTCTGCTGTTCTTTGTCTCCGTGTCCACTTACTGAGTTCGGACCAGTGGGCGCGTTTCTCAGTCCCGACAAAGGAAATGATCTAAACCAGGTGCATAAAGGAATTTTGTAAACCTCTGGCATTGCTCTGGTCTCCCACCATCTGTTCCCTTCAGATTCATCCTGCCTATCTCTTCTCTTGAAGAAACATTTCACCCTTCTTATAATAGCAGTGTAGTTTAGAGAACTTAGAAAACCAAGATAAGCCAAGAAAGAAAACATCACCCTGCCTCCAACATCCAAAGAGACTGCCTCAAGGGTTCAGGCGCTATGCCCAGCCACGTGCCCAGCCAGGCTAACCCGCTTCTGGGGTATGGACTCTCCTGAGCATCCGTTTGCTCAGTTTCTGAGCGGTGCTTAGTTTCTGTTTCAAAGCTCAGGTACTAGACACTGTGGTATTCAATCCCCAAGCCGTAAGAGTCCACTGAACACCAAACAGCCGATCGACAGCACTTCTGTGTCCTAGGGGTGGGCTATGAGTCCATGCGGCAGCAGCCGACTCTGGACATGAATCACCGGAGGTAGCAGAACACTGTCCTCAATGCATTGTTTCCTGATTACTAGACAATATCTTATTATAAAGAAAAAGAATTGGAAGATAAGTAAAGAACAAAGTCAACTTCCACAATTCTATCCATTCAGACAACTATGATTAACAGCTTAATATAAATTTTGCCAAACTCCTTTCTTGTATATATATCCAAATTCAATAAAAAAACAGCATATACATATGATGGGATCACACCTATCCCCCCAATTTTCAGGTCAAGACGTGTTGCCCCATTGAGATACCACTTCACACCCATTTAGGATGGCTATTATTCTTGAAAAAGCATACACCCACAGAAAATAACAAATGTCGGCAAGGATTTGGAGGAACCGGAGCCCTCCTAATGCTGCTGGTGGGAATATAAAATGGTGTAGCTGCTTGGAATACAGCGTCCTGGCACCTCAACAAATCACGATGCAGAGTCACCACATGGCCCAGCAATCCCACCTCTGGGTGGACAAACCAAAGGAACTCAAACTGGTCCTTTTACACTGGCATTCACGGCAGCACTATTACCAACAGCGAGAAGGCGGAAACGACTTGAGCGTCCATCAACAAATCAATGGAAATGTGGCACACACATACAATGGAATATTACTCAGCCATAAAAAGGAATTAAATTCTGATCTATGCTGCAGCACAATGAACCCTGAAAATAATATCTAAGTTAAACAGGCCAGACAAAGAGACGGTGTATGACTCTACTTACGTGAAGTATCTAGAACAGAAAAATTCAGAGCCAGAAGGTAGAACTGAGGTTACCTGTTACTGCTAAACAGGTACAGAGTTTCTGTCTGTGATGATAAAAAGTCCTGGAAATATACAGTGGTAATGGTTGCAAAATATTACAAATGTACTTAATGCCACCTAGTCACACAAAAAAATTGTTAAAATGGTCAATTTTGTTAGGCATATTTTAACACAATGAATAAAAAAAAATGATGCCCCAGATGTAACAGTTGCTATGAAAATCTTGCAGCACAGATTCTGGAAATCCCTTGCAGGGGGTCCTGGAGAATGTTTACCGAAGCATGAGCACCACCCAGCCCAAGGCCGCCGTGTTTAGGAGTGCGCGGTCCCTTGGCTTCACTTGCCTGGGGTGCGTGAATCAGGTTCATCTCCAACAGGCGAGTCTGGGGGTGCCCCTCGGCTGGGCGGCTATTTTTCAAGGCATCCAACGAGAAGGAAGTACACTGCTGAATTAAACTGTTTTCCATGAAAATGTCCATGATCTGCAACAGATCACAAGCCACATTTTTAGGAAATGTACTTTATTTTATTTAGGAAACTGTTTTATTTTCTTATTGAAAAAGTTCCTAAAACTGAATCTCATTTAGGAATTCAACAATGAGTTCCTTCCTTTTCATTTTCTTACATCTTCAAAATTCATGAATTCATGGCCATTGTTTATTTATAGGTAATTTCGTGGAATTACATCACTTACATCCTATTCACCAATGGAGTATTTTACTGAGATTAAAGGAGGTACTTTTATCACATATGAATCCCCAGAATCCTCAGAAGCGATGCAAGCAATGTTAACAACCCATCCCTTAATCAAACCCTTGGGGCAGTCCATGCTTAGTGGCTAACCCGTATACTCCCATTATTCAGGCCCAGTTGGGAAAATGCAAACATTGATTTAGATACCAGTCATTAAAGTTAAAGAGATGTTAATTTAAAGATAATAAGAGGTGAAACAGAAGTAATAAATTTATTAATCATGTATTGTTTCCATATTTAAGGTACAAGAGAAAAGTTTATACTGAAAATACTTTAAAAGTATGAAATACAATCCAGATGTAAACTGGGGCCTTCTTTCTGGGGTTTGTGTAAATTTGGGTCAAACTCCAAAATATCTGTCAATCCCAAGATGTATAAACCCAATATAACTACTTCCTTTTGTACAAGGTGTTGGTCTTAGCTTGCTTCGTCACACCCTCTGTGACAGCCGGCCTGCACGGCTGACTGAAGGTGACGAGACATGCTCACACCTACATGGTGAGCACGTTACACCAAAGCACTGTGTTCACCTAACTCCAGGAGCCGGTACCCACAGTGGAGGTCCGCAGAAGATGACAGCACTCACCACGACCGGGTACGGAGGCAGAGTTCAGGTGGCCTTAGTCTCAGGGGCTGGGGCTACACCCTAAAATGGCACCTTCACCCCACGGCACCACTCAGCACACAAAGAAACAAAATCCTCACAACCCAACACACAGACCTTCTAATGTATTTCAACAAAGGTAACAAGTATTCACTGATGAAAGACTAGAAGACAAACCTTTCTGGTACTTCAGAAACTTTTAAAGACTGGAAGGTTAACAGACAAAAGAATCGAAACACTGGTAACAGAAATTAATGAGCAGGAATCTTCCTGATGGCTTTACAAAGCTGCCAAAGCTGTCCCCAGTGACCCTCCTCACCCTGCACTAGCATTTGAGAAAACTGCAGGCCCTGTTCTGGACTGACCCTCATCACACTCCTGAGCAAGAGGATCCAGTTTGGGGCGTAGCCGACCTAGAAGCAAGGGAGCCGCATCAGAAAACTACATGAAGTACCTTGAGTGTTAAAAAAAAAAAAAGAGTTCCCCATCCTCTGTTTCAAACTTGTGCCTAAAATGATGAGCAGTAGGGGCACAAATACATGCCAGCCCGCAGCCAAACACAACATCAATTCAATGTGCTGACCACATATATACCGACGTGCAATGAACCACGCAAACAGGCCTGGTCCACAAAGACACCCTGACGAGTGTGCGAGCTCTGCCAGCCGCCAGCACAGTGGCCAAGGAGCCCCAGGGCACGCTGTGCTGGAAGCCCGCCAAAACACATGGGGTGCTGAGGGAGACTGGGGACGAAGTGGGCAAAAAAAGACACGATGACAGGAAAACCCCAGACTGGAAGGGAGACAGGAGGACTTCACAGTCTTTCCATAAGACAGGGATAAAAACATGAGAGTAAAATAGGATCATTACTGCTAAATGACAGATGCTGAGAGCAACACAGACACCGCTAAACAAGCACACTAACGAAGAAGGGAATGTCACAGACGTCAGAATCAGCAACCACCCACCACCAGGAATGAGCAGTGAGACGCTAACGGTTAAGCATGCATCACCTTTTTGGCATACAGCACAATTTTCTGGAATTGGCCTGTTTCTGCAAAACACTGGATAACTTTGCTTGGCACATTTGCCCGAAGGTACACACTCAGAGCGAGTGTAGGGTCAGTGGTTTTGATCAAATCTCCAAGTTCTTCTGAACACTCCAGCTGTGGTGTGCCAAAGGACAAGGCAGGATTAGGATTATGACCTAGTTTCCAAACTGTTGGGACTGTGATTTTACAGGTGTCTGTTACCTTATCTTCTTTCAGCCACTTTTCTAAGAGCTGCTTGCGTCCCTGCTAAAGAACCAGTCAGCAAAGTTCTAGGGATTCAAGTTTATTGAGTTGACCCTGGTCAAGTAAGATTCCGAAGTACTGGAGCAAAGGAGAAGCCTGCCCAGGGGGGCTGGGAATACTTTGGAATTTCCGAACTGTGTCACTGGTGCGCAGGGTGCCCTAATGATAAATGGAAATGCAGGTCATTGTGCTGTAATCGCAGGTCATCCCTTCATTAACTGTCTTGTAATAAAAAAAAAAAATCCGCCAAAGGAAACTACACATAGTCAGGGACAAAGTCCTCTACCAAGGCAAACTGCCCCAGGCACGGTGGGCCTTGGCCCCCGGGTGACTTCCGGTGAGGACGGGCCTTCTCCCTAGTATGCTGTGGTGGGATTAGGCTTCCAAATGGGTTTTGTGGTATTGAAATTCTACCATCATGACATTCTAATTCAAAATACCCAAAGTCCCAGGAGAAGACTGAAAATGGTTCATTCATAAGCACCACTTGAGAGACAGAAAAAAATCCTTTCAAGGAAAAGCAACTTGTAAGCATTTATCTTCCCAGAAGCAGATTCAGTGCCAGGGCAATTTATCCTGATGAAACAGATCAAAGAAGATGCCTTAAGTTAGTGCTACTCTCCAGAAGAGCAGAGAAGGTCCAGAGCAGACTAAATGAAATAGGGTCTGACCATGTGCTGTGTAATACAGCTCTGTGCTCCTGAGCTAAGAAGTGGGGTGAGAAACATGTATGCACGCAGACAAGGACTGGAAGAGAATGACAGAGAGTAAGTCGTTGCAGTAGGACTGTGCTTTTTGCCTGTTTCCATTATTGTTATGTCACTGGCGCAAAAATTCTGAAGCTACAACTAATGGGGCACTAAGACTCCGACGGCAGTCGTGGAACAATGCTTTTGTGATGTGGTTCACTCTTGGCAGAGTGCACAGCGTCTGAGCGTCTTTACCTTTGGTGCAGTCGCTGCCACTTTGGCGGCTTCAGCATAGCTCCCCTGTGCAAAGAAGCCATGGAACTTCCTCACAAGTAACTCTTCTGCCCCAGCCAGGTTACTACGGATGGCCAAACGCAGACCAAGGTCTGGATTCTGAAGCACGCTGGTTGCATAATTCACAATGTTATCTTCCTCAACACAAACTGACAGCACCTGTAAGGACCCAGTAAGCGAGGCTGGTTCAGCCTGGAAAAGCGCTCCCCACATGCACCGCCACACCCCACTCACAGGCACTGGGGTGCCACCACAGTCTAAGGTTCATGCTGAGTATGCCCAAGATGCTGGTTCTAACAGTGCCAGGATGCGCAGGGGCCAGACACCTAATGGTGACCCAGTAGATACCATGACACAGCAATAGCCTGGGACTCTATGTAGTCATTTAAGACTGTAAAAATATCAAGTGAGAATGAGAAGATGCAGGGACATTGACCAGTGATGCTTTCAGGAAGACAATTATGCCAAAATGACCTTTTTCTTCCTAAATGCTCTTTTTTAAAGCACAGATTTTCCTGTCTTTTTAACTTTGGTTGGGAAAGGTAAGTAGCATAGCTTGTGCTTTTACACCCACACCAATCAATGTGTGCATGGCCGGAAGATCCAGTGGTATCAGAACTGCTGCTCCACTGCTAGACGCTGCATGCAGGGAGCTGCTCTCTTCTCTGGGTTCGTCCTCTGGGAGGAGTGGCGCTGAGAAGTGCGTGACGATGTCAAGGAGAAGGGAGGAGGGAGGTGTGGGTGGGAGTTTCACAACAGGAGCTAACTAAACCCGACTGCTCTCCTTGAGGAGGAGGAAAGGTAAGCCCCAGGCCCCAGTGAACGGAGAAGGTGGGAGAGGACCCTCAAAGCGACCTACCTGCCCCTTTTTGTTGACAGCGATAATTCCAGAGGTAGGTTCATGTGGGGCAGTTACAAAGATCGTGTCAGCACTAATACGGTTCATATAGATGCACACGCCAGACTCCAGGTCATACATATGAAGACAGCCATACTTTGTGATCAAGTAAATAACACCATGTTTAGCTCCAACCTATAAGACAGAGAACAACAGGTGGAGAAGCAAGCAGAAGCCAAACAGAGCAAAAGAGTTCACAAATGGTGAAAAAGGACTCGAGCTTCTTAGACCAAGATATCACGTATCATTGGTGGGAAAGTGCATTCCTGAGACGTGGATCCCAAGTTGATTCCAGTCCTACCCCTTTGAGAACTAGTGTTAAGGCCAATATTCTGCCCAACCACTCTCAAATAAAGGTTCCATTAAGTAGGCTATTCCATTTATCTTTCAGGTACAGCTATCCTTTCCCGAATTTCTTACCAAATCTCTCTGGGCAAGCTCTAAGTTCGTAAAATAAGGGGAAAGTTTTGGGCAAAGACCTCAAACACTGTGTTCATAGTTCAGCCTGCCCTCTACCACCACTTATTAACCTTTTTTTCCTTTGCTAAGTGCCACTGACTCTTACAGAAAAATATTTAACACATGGGAAATCTTGAAAGGGTGGGAGAAAGACAGATGAATTTGCCCAATTAAATTATTATAAAACTTATGGTGATTTAGAAGTATGATACTAAGAAATAAAGAGACAGAGACAAATGTAACTTAATTGAGAACTCTGAAACAGAATCAAACATATGTAAGAATTTAATAAGAATGAGTAGGTATTTCATATCAAAATAAGAAAAATTGACTTTAACCAGTATATGATGTTAATATAACCAGCTGGCTATATGGGCACAGGGAATTAGGAATGACAGTAAGGAATTGTATCTCTACCCTATTCTTTAGATGAAAGTAAATTCAAGATGGTCGAACATTTTTAAATAAAAAGCAAACAAAAGTAAGAAAGTAATAGAAGAAAACACGGGTGAATATTTTTGTCACCTTGGGGTCTATTATTCTTTTTAAAATATGCTATGAAATACATGTAAAAATGCAAAACTCCGAGAAGGTGGAGCACACCACAAATAAACTTTTGTTATGACTGAGGAAAAATATTTGAAACACAATATTCACTTAGTACTCAAATATTATAGAGTTCTTATAAATTAGATGAAGACTCTGATAGAAAAAAATGCCAAGATCAGGGAGAGGCAATTAACAAGATGCATATGAGTGACGGTGAACCCATTCCACCTCGACAGTAACCAGAGGAAATGCCACTGCACAGTGCCCAGCTATCAAGTGGTGCTGGCAGGAGTGTGAACTGGCCAGCATGGTCGTAAAGGTCAGCGACGTGCACGTAGCCCTGACCTGGAGTTTATCCTTGGATTTCTGGAGTAATGTACAAAGATGCATGGACAACAATGATTCTAGAAGTGTTCACTGTCAACATAAATAAATGCCCACCAACAGGGAATGGTCTAAATGAGTAATGGTACTTCTACAGGGCAGATGATAGACATTAACATATACACACACATTTTACGGGCATAAACTGGTCTACAAGGTAGTGAGAGGTTGTAAAGCACAAGGCCAGTGCAAAGCCATTCTCTATCTGTATATATGTGCATACATGCACGCATGCAAGATGGGATGTCACAATTACCAGTGGTAGAAGGATTTCAGTTGACATTTAATTGTTATATTTATTGACATAATTGGAGTTTTATGGACAACACATATTTTTTGTAGGACAGAAAAAAAGCAAGTTTCACTTTGGGAAAAAAATTGCATTCTTTGGTCACATAACTATTTCCAGAAATCTAGCTTAAAGAAATTATTGTTAAGTATGGTCAAACACTTGAACACAGAAAAAAAAGGAAATAGCTAAAACATCCTACAGTTATGATACATTTTTGAAAATAAGTGTTTCCCTCCCACAATATTAACAAAGAATGTAATACCTTATGGAGATACTTACAATGTACTGAGTAAAAGACTCAAAAGGGGGGTAGATTGTGTTATCTTACTCATATAGTGAGATCTCAGTTTTGTCTGGGAAAAGTTTTTATCTGAATTTTTAATATAACAAGTGGTAGGATCTCAGATATATTTTGACATGCAATTGGTTCATCTATTGATGGATTTCCTTCTTTGTGCGTCTTTGTATAACAGTGACCAAAGGAAAAGGCCCGGGACTTCAGGATGTGAGTTGGAAAAAGTCCTGCCTACGGAACGGAGAGCTCCTCTTCAGCGCGTCAGCGAAGCATGAGCTGGAAGACCAGCGCCAGCGGCGACCCCTCTGACCCCAGCATAGCTACTAGGGCGCTGGCGGAGGCCGGGAAGCGCTGTCTGCTGTCCCCCGTCTGAGATCCCTGATCTTCTCCAACCCACTCGGAGAGCAGCACTTTCACGCCTGCACAGCCACGGGGAAATCAGTCTGAGCCTCGGGAGGGAAAAACACGCCCACAGCCTTCTTTACAAAAGGCCGGTTTCCTGTTGCAGGCTGTCCAACTTCAACTATGTGCAACTGCAGAAGAGATTGTAGGTCAACCCAAGCAAACGTCACTTGATGGCAGACTGATGCTGCCCAGTGCACAGTGGTGAGCAGAGCCTCAGGTCCATTAGTCTGTAAGATGAATGATAAAACTTATATCCAAACTCGGTGACCTGCTGCCCCCTACCAGGTATAACACGGAGAGTCGTTGCCAGGGCCCCCGAGGGACGTTTAGCTCCAGCATGTGGCCGAGTCACTTCTCCCCTTGCTGGGCCTCTCAGTGTGATGCCCGTGCGACAAGGGGCCCCGGCGAGGGTGTGTGTCTCCTCAGCTCTGCCACTGCTCTCCGGACACAGCTCGGCCAGCACAGACGTCAGTGGACGAGATCCCGTAACTGAATGCCGAACTCCCAAGACAAGTGATTATAGCAAAGGCCTGAGTTTTTCAAGGTTATGCTGGGAAATTTAAGAGTCTTTGGAGATTCAGGAGGAATGAGAATAGACATGGGGGTCCATCCCTGCTTTTTTTATCAGAACAGCAAGTTCCTTTCAGCTAAAGAAAAGGTAACACAGCTGAAGCAAGTCTAGAAAAATTAGGAGTAGCTGGACCAGAGACATGAAACACGGGCTGCGGGAGGCTCAGCGGAGGAAATGGATGAGACAACGCTCACTTAGCAGAGAGCTGGCATTTTGCCTGGCAGAGAGAAGGGAGAAATACCAGAGGTTCAAGGCTAGTGGAGGATGAACCTGAGACAGGGGCTAGAAGGGGGACGGCTGATGCAGCAGGCAAGCGGGGGCTACTGTGAGTTACAACAGGGGAAATGAAACGGAATACAGGTACTTTAAGATAAGCCATAGTTCAGACAACTGCTTTTGATGGGTGTGGTGGCTCTGAGCACGTCATAAATGTCTATTCCCTATCCCAAATGCGGGTGTGATAAGGGTCTAGTCTAGCACAGATGTGAGACTTGCTGAAGGCTGGACAGTGGCAACAAGAAAAGAACGGTCTCCCTGGGTGTGGTTTCTTGCTTGGGAGCTGGGAAGGATGGGGCACTGCCAACAGAAGGGAGGTGGGGAAGGAAGCCAGCCTCCTCTGGGAGGAGGGCGTGGCGACGGCAACAGTCAGCACTACGGACCCCGTGTTCAGACAGGACTCCGATCCACATGTGGAGACTAGAGAGCCATTCCCAGATGGGCTGAACTAGAAGGGAGGTGCGTGGCGAGGGACACACGCTGTGCAAACCACTGAAGGACCCCCACACCTCCCACTGGGTAGGGGAAGTGCGGTTCGGCCACCAGTGTCAGGTGGCAGGTGGGCAGTTGCTGTGGGGGTCTGCGGTGAGGGCCCCGCGGGGAGAGGCCGCTCTGACGGCCGGGCCCAGGAGATGTGGGGGCTGCCGTCTCCAGAGCCCCTCTCTTCTCTCCTCTTGCTGCCCCCAGTGCGCAGGGGCTCCTGGTGGGCTCTCCTTCCCAGGGGGCCTGGCGGGGCAGGTTCTGCTCAGATGAGGGAGCCTGGGGCTGGCTGTCCAGCTCTGTCTGTGAGGAGGTGGGAGCCTTGTCCTGAGGGGATACGGAGGCAAGCTCTTAGTGTAGGCTGACATTCTTACCTGACTCCTATTTTTCTATTGGTTCTCAACTGAGCAGGACATGCGCTATGTTATACGAGAGACCAAAGTGTCCAAGTAAGACTACTCAAGATGAGAATGTCTGGAAAGCTGCAGACTGGTTCAGAGCTTTTCTCTTGGGGAATATTTCTGGGCTACTGATCACCCCAAAACGATGGTATTGGGAAGTATCTTTGACAAGAGTGTACTGGGATAAGGACCCTGTCTTGAGGCAGCTCTCCAAGTGACAGACACACCCCCAGGGAAGACAGCATGAGCCCTTCACTGCCATGCCCCTGCCGCGGCAGCCCCACCAGAGAGCTGTGAACCACACCCCCAAGCCTACAACTCAGCTCGCCCAGGGCACAGCGCTGGGCTCCCACCCAGGCCCCTTCCCTTAGCAGAGCACGTCTCGGTGACGATGGTGTGCACCAGTTCTTCCACAACAGTTGCCTCCAAGGGACGGGAGTGTGAGCGCAGAAACCACATGCGCCTAGCTGATGCTCAGCAGACTCTGTCAAAGAGAAGCTTTAGGGGAAAGGGACAAATTAATTGGCAGCCGACTTCAGCTTATTAACTTTATGCAAAGGTTGGCCTGTGAAACTACCAATATGGACAAAAGTGAATTGTTCTAAATATCCTAAGAGCCTTCATTTACATGAACCACTTGTGGGCTGTTCCCCATTCTCAGTTATAAACTGGTTTCAGAATGTAGGCCAAGCGGCTACCAGTTACACTGATACAGACGCCTAACACAGACTCAGAACCCTTCTGGGGTAGAAGGCAAAGCGGAGTAGATCTTACCTTGCCCCCTGCAGGACTGCGTACAGCGAAGCAGAAAAGGGTGGCAGGCTTGGCATTCCCCTCGCTCTGGAACTCTGCAAAAGCAGCGGCGTGGCCTTCTATGGTTTGGGAGACCTTCCTGTTCGCAGAGTAGAGCTGCATTGCCCCAATCACACGGTTTTGCTGAGAAAAGATATTTTGCAATGCCAGGGAGAGAAAAAAGATGGATACAAGCAACGGTTAAAAAGAATGTTTCTAAAATGAAAGCCTAATTTTTTATATAGTTACTCTAATAAAGTATTAGTCTACTGGATATTAAATGACATCATACAACTGAATTTGATGTAGAAAGATGGCTACAAACACTAGGGAAAAACGAGACTACAGAACAGTATGATAAAGGATCCCAATCTGTTAAATATGATGCGTGTGTACACATATATTCTATGCACACACATACATTCATATACAATGTGTATATATCATAAGTATACCTACATATACCCATATATGTGTGTGTGTGTATGTATATATTCATATTCATAGAAAGTCTTTGAAGGAAAAATTCCAAAACTTTGAAGAGTAGTAAAGTCAGGAGGAGGAGATTATCGGCCAATTTTGAAAATTGTTTAGATTTTCTCAACAGCAAAAATTGTACTTAATAAAAACCAATATGGCTGGTATCTTTTATAAAACTTAGAACTTATATTTCCCAGGAAAGAATTTCGATACATTTACATCCCAAGTCCAACGCTCGACAAGCCAAGTGAACAGAACACCAAAGCACCACAGGCCCGGCGCCGACAGCTCAGCTTTCAAACCACCATTGGGGCCGAATAAGCTCCTGTGCAGCCTGTGGGTAACATTCAGATCCTCAGTCTACTCCCTACCTACCCAGAGCTCCTTAAAAGGGGAAAACAAGGGCTTCAACTTCATTCTTTGTAAACGTCCTTTCTATTGCACAGACTTATGTTAAAGTCTTATGCAACTTTACATGTGCACATGCTACAACACAGATGAGATGAACCTTGAATATGTGCAGAGTGGAAGTAGAGTCACAATTGATTTGCAATCCCTAGTGACTAATAATACTGAGCATCTTTTCTGGTATTCAGTGGCCATTTGTATTATATTTGGCTAACTTCTATTCAGGTCTTTTTGCCCACTTTTTAACTTTGTTGTTGAGTCAGAAGTCTGGATACTAGACTCTTATCAGATAAATGATTTGCAAATACTTTCTTCTATTCTGCAGGTTGTCTTTTCACTTTCTCGACAACATCCTTTGACGCAGAAAATTTTTAATTTTGATAGAGTCCAATTTATCTATTTTTTCTTTTGTTGCTCATGCTTTTGACATTATACCTAAGAATCCACTGCCAAATACAAAGCATGAATATTTGCCATGTTTTCTTCTAAAGGTTTAGAACTTCAGCTCTTACATTTAGCTATTTGGTCCATTTTCAGTTAATTTTTGGTGTGAAGTAGGGGTCCAACTCCTTTCTTTTGCATCATTTGTCCCAGCATCATTTGTTAGAGAGAAGATTCTTTCCCCATTGAACATTCTTGACATGTGTCAAAAATCAACTGGTCATAGATACATGGGTTTATTATGTATATGGAATTCCAATTCTCTTCCATTGGTCTACATGTTTACCCTAATGCCCATGAAGTTTTCTGTTGTCAAATGCCTGTGTGATATTGTGTACTGGTCTTTGTCCCTGGTTCCTGGCACAGAACTCCTAAAACCCTAGTCATTTCCTAAGTGACATGAGTCGACAGAAACATCTCTAGTTACAGTGTTTATTCTTAGTTTCTGATTCCTGACACAAAAGCTTCTAAGACCCTTGGAACCTTCCAGAGTGATGAGTGTCTTTTTTTATGCTAATGAGATGATGGTGGCCCCCAAATAGCTTCAGGATAGGGTCCGGTCACCAGAAAGACCAAAGAATGATTAGAGGACTGGAACTTTCAGCCCTACCCCATCCCAACCTCCAGGGAGAAGAGAGGGGCTGGAGACTGCGTTAATCACCAATGACCAATAAAATCTCCACCAAACCCCTACAGGATTCAGAGTCCTAGGCTGGCAAGCACGTTGATGCGCTGGGAGGCTGGAGGGCCTGCAGGAGATATGGGGGCTCCACATGCACCCACTTCGGTCTCTGTGCCTTGCCTAACGCATCTCTTGCATGTGGATGTTCCTAAGTTGCATCCTTTATAATAAACCAGTAATAGTAAGCAAAGTGTCTTCCTGAGCTCTATGAGCCATCCTAGCAAATTATCGAACCTGATGAGGAGGCTGCTTGAACCCGATACATAGCCTGTCGGTCAGAGGTTTAGGTGGCTCAGGACATGAGTTCTACCAGAAGGCCTGGGAGTAGTCTCGTGGGAGCCCTTCACCTGTGGGGTCTGCACCGACCCCAGGTGATTAGTGTCAACACTGAACTGGATTCCTGGATACCCAGCTGGTGTCCACAGAGAAATGGAGAATTGCTTGGTGAAGAAAAACTAATATGCTTGGCGTCAGAAGTGCTGAGAATGAAAACAGTTTACAGCTTGGATTTTTTAATTGGTTTTTATTTTTGTCAGTAAAGTATAAACAAAGTAGCATTGTGATTTACAGTCTTTCTTTTAAAATAGCTTCTCAAATATGATGATTTCCTTATAAATGGGCATGATTCCCAAGAGTACTGTTAGCAACTTTTTTGAGATATAATTCATATGCCATATTACTCATTTCTTTAAAGCATACCATCTGGTGTTTTCCAGTTTATTCACAGGACTGTACAATATTCACTACAGTGTGATTTTAGAATACGTTCATTCCAAGAACCTCGTTAGCAGGCAACTCCCATTCCCACCCCCAGTCTAAGCAACTCCTTATCTACTTTCTGTCTCTATAGATAACTATTCTGAACATCTCATAAATGAAATCATACATTATGTGGTTTTTATGACTGACATCTTTCACTTAGCTTAATATTTCCAAGCTTAACCATGATATAACATATATTAGTACTTTGTTTCTTTTGCTGTCAAGTTGGTCAAGTTGGTATCCCACCAGACAGACATCCTACTTACGCATTGATCAGTTGTGGACATTTGGGTTGTTGTTTCCTTTTTGACTAATGTTTCCATGGACATTCAAATGCAAGTTTTTAGGAAATTTCTATCTTAAAGTCTATTTTATCTGATGGTAATATAGCCAATCCAGCTCTCTTTTGGGTACAGTTTGTATGGTGTACTTTTCCCATCCTTTTACTTTCAACCCACTACGTCCCTCAGTTTAAAGTGTGTCTATTGAAGACAGCATATAGTGGATCTTGGTTTTCAAAATATTCCGTCAATCTCTGCCTTTTTAATAGAATGTTTAATCTATTTAGTGCAATGGATAAGATTTACTTCTTAAGAGGAGTAAGATTTAATTCTGCAGTTTTGTTATTTCTTTTCTATATGATTTATGTCTTTTTCTCTTCTATTCCTTCATAACTACCTTCTTTGGTGTCAAATATACTATTCAAGTGTATCATTTCATTTACTTTGTTACTTCTTTTATGATTAAAAAAATTATTTCTTGGTGGTTGCCCGAGGACTACAATTAACCTCTTAATTTATAACAATCTGATTTGGATTAATACCAATATAATTTCAATACTATACAAAAACTTTGCTCTTTTACAGCCATTTCTCCCCATTATTTGTGCCATTATCATCATATAAATTACATCTTTATATACCATATATATGTGTATACACATATCCACACACATACACATATATCCACACACACACTTATTATTTTATGTAGTCTTTTAACTCAGGAGAAAAAAAGTCATGAACAAAAAATACATTTTTTGTCTTTTATATTTACCTATATAGTTGCTTATATCAGTGTTCTTTATTTCTTCATGTGGGTTTGAGTTACTGACTTGTGTCTTTTTATTTCTACCTGAAGAATTCTCTTTAGTATTTTTTATAGGGCAGATCTGTTAGAGACAAGTTCTGTTTCTGTTTATCTGGGAATGCCTTAGTTTCCCGTTCAGTACTTGAAGGGTAGTTTTGTGGACACAGAGGTCCTGGCTGACAGCCCTTTCTTGTTGGTAAAGCCCTCGGAACATGTCATCCCGCTGCCTTCTGGCCTTCACGGTTTCTGGAGAGAAATCAGTTGTCAATCTCATTGAGAGTCATTTGCGCAAGATCAGCTCGCTTCTCTCTTGCTCCTTTCAAGGTTCTCTTTCTCTTTTGTTAGTAATCATGTCATGTCTAGGTCTGGACCTCTCTGAGCATCCTGGCTGGGCAGATTAATAGTTTTCATAAAATTTGCTGAGTCTTTGGCCATTATTTCTTCAAATATTCTCTCATTTCCCTCTGGGACTTTCTCTCCTCCTTTTGGGACTTTCATTATGTGTATGTCAGTCCACTTGATGGTGTCCCAAAGATCTATACGGCTCTGTTATTTTTTTATATTTTTTAGTTCTTTATTGCTATAATCTATGTGGTGAGACACTGTTCTCATGCTTTCCTTTAGTTCTTTTAGACATGGTTTCCATGAGTTTTTTAAAACATTTAAAAATAGCTGACTTAAAGTCTTGAAACTCCAATGTCTATGCTTCCTCAGAACAGTTTCTACTGATGGCCTTTTTTCTTCTTCTTGAGTATGGGCTATACTTTGTTTCTTTGCATATCTTGCTTTTTTTGTTGAAAACTGGACATTTTAAATAATACAATGTGACAACTTGAAATCAGATACTCCCCCCTTCCTTAGGTTTATCATGGCTGCTTGTTTAGGAAATCTCTTGAACTAATTCTAGCAAGTGAATTCTTTGTCACGTGGTCATTGAGGTCTCAGCTTACTGGTCAGTTAATGATCTGAAAGAGGTTCCTTGAATCTCAGCCTTTGCTGAGAGGCTGTGTGTATATTAAGATATGCCTTCAATCCTCTGGTGGGAAATTTACAATTCTTCCTTGGCCTTATCAGACACTCAAGGTCAACCAGAGATAAGAGCTTAGAGCCTTGTCAATTCTTTCTAGGGTATGCACACAGCCTGAACCATGCACTGGCCTTCTAGATTCCCAAGAATATGCTGAGTCTTTGAAAGCCCCTATGATCATCGCATTCTATAGATTTTCTTTTTAATTTTTTTGCTCAGCTGATTTGCCTCAACTGCTATCATCCCTTCAGGCAG